GGAATGCCCTTTAATCCCATCTTCAATGCTGTTCTTCTGAAGAGAGCTGGGGGCCTGTCCAGCCCGATTGATCGACAAAACCGGTTCGCCGCTAGTTCGGCGAGTGCGGTTTTGTCTCTCCCAATATCAGCAATAGAGTTATAATAACCGAGCCATGCATGATAGGCTGCTTCTTTGATGCTCAAATCAATTTTTTCAATTGATTGTTCAACCTACAGAATACATGTTGAGGAATCAAAATGAGAGTAATAATAATACAGGATAATAAAAGCAAACCATTAAGTGAAGGAGTGATGTGTGGGATGCATGATCTACCTAAAAAATTATTTCAAAAAAAATGATATGCACCATTAATAACATGCAGCTCCAAATATATATATCTAAAAACAAATAAACAGGAGTTAATATTACTGTTGGTGTTTTTCCAATAGATAAATTTACATACATACTGTACAATTCTTCCGTATTTATATAACACCCAAATTTTGGTATTTATGCTTATAAAACATTAGTGTCATAAAGGTATGCATGGAAAAGTATATTTCACTTTTAAAAAGGCAGTGATTGTAGTATTGTGATGTGATGTTAAAGATTTGGGGGGTTTGCATGTAAATATGAATGTTTTAAGTGTTAAATATGTAAATACATAAGAATTGTGTGGTATGTATGTAAATGCCCCTTTCAAATATTGTTATTCTAGTCAATAAGTGAGGCAATATATTTTTGGTAGCAACTTGGATAGAGTTGTTGGTCTGGCATATGATACCCGGTATCCAACAACAACGATAGAAGCAAAAATTATTACTAAAAGAAAGTCAACAGTCAGTTACAACCAACACCCTAAACCCTAAAAGGGAAATAACAACAAAAATGACGCACAAAACACGACTAGGGTGAATCTAAGGTAGTGATTGTGGTGGTGGTAAGATAGAAAGGTGCTGGACGGCATGAAAACAGCGGTAGGACAACGTCAACTTGCTGACTTGTGCAGCTGTGAGAAGCGAATGGCTAGAACAGACAAGAATCAGCAAAAAATAGGCTGTCCGTGGCGCCGGAATGAAGGGGACAGCAGCGGGTTGAGTTTCTGGGGGCATAGCAAGTATTGGAGGGTGAATTGGTGGCTGGGGAGGCTGGGGTCTGCCAGGCAACAGCAAAACCTTGCTGTTTGGGCAGTGGCAGCAGTGCAGGCGTGCTGGAACAGCAGGCGAACAGCAGCAAGAAGGGGTTCTGGGCAGCGTTTGTGGTGGAGGGTGTTGGGAAGCAAAGCGGGAATGAAGGAGAAGGGTAGACGGCGGCTGGACTGGGGCGGCAGTAAATCAGCAAGACATGCTGTGTGGGGCGATCTGCAGTATAGAATTGGCGGCCGCGAAGCGACGTAGGTAGGATGCGGAAGGGAATAGGGAAGATAAATATCAACTTAAGAGGAAGATACAGCCAGAGCACCACTTGAACCCTTGGATACATCCCTCGAAGGAAAAAGAGAGATGCCGGAGCTGTCTCGAACAAACATATGCCAAAAATAAGGATCCATATCCTAATACAACTCATATATAAAAAATAACTAGAAGGGAAGGATAAAAGTAAAGTTTCTGAAAAATAGAAAGAAAAAAAAAAGTTGCCTGGTTCGGTCTTCCCACGATTGCAGGAGCTGCGGCTCGCATCCCGCATCCAGGGCATAGTGTCCCGTGACAATATAACTGTGAGTCCAAGTACCTCCTAAGAATGTTTTAGAATGTCTCAAGTATAATGATAACGCATTCCAGGGTAGCAACACAATATGAAATACCTTAAATCCTTACCTAGCACTTTCCCTAAAGAACAATCGGTTGAATAATTTCAAAAAGAGTACATTTTAGCAATGCAAGGGTTGTTTGGTTGGATGCAAATCATGTTTGTTAGGATTGATTTTAAAACTCTCTCTCTCTAAACTCGAAGAGGGAAGACAAGGTAGAGAGTAATGGCGGAGATGATGATGGAAATGGTCACTAGATCAACTCAAATGAACATTAGCACAAAAAAAAGACATTTTTTTAATTAAAGTATAAATTTTATGTGAGTAGACTATTTAGATAGAGGCATTTTAGTCCCGGAATTTATAAAAAAGAAAAATTAGACTACAAACTATTTTAATAGGGGTTAAAATAGTCCTCATTGCGGACTACTTTAACACATATTAAAAAATTTGGGGACTAAATTGACACTTTTATAAAATTTGTGACTAAAATAAATCCTTGCAAAGAGTTTAAGAACCATTTTAATACTTTCCTCATTTTGTATGTAGTTACAAGTTATAAAATTATACTTGTGATAATAAAGCTATTTTGCACCTTTTGTTTTACATCTGAACCAAGCTCGGGTAGCTGGCACCTCTCAATGGGGAGATCTTTTATCTCGTTTATGAAATATTCCTCCCACGGCGCAAGCAACAGGATGCCCTTCCCAGTCTTGCCCTCACGGCCTGTTCTTCCAAGTCGATGTATGTATTGTTCACGATCTGTAGGAATCCCAACCTGAGGACCAGAAATGTTCTTACTAGCTGGAAAGCCAATAAAAATTAAACTCAGAATAAACCAGTATAATCACATGGCACACTTGATTCAAAAAGAGATTTCACCTACTAGGTTATTTAGCATCAGCAAGTCCTTTAGAACTACATGTTTTACACAAAAGAAAGCCAGTTAACATCTAAATCAATGGAGAAACAACCGAAAAAAAACTGACATTTACATATATACAACACAATTCTTATGTATTTACATAACAAACATCTAACTTTCATATCTGTAGCATAGCACTCGAATCTAAAACATAAAAAAACCTCTATTACTAAATTTTAAAAAGTGAAATACACATTTTTCATATATAGGTTTATGATAACAAAGCACCATAAATGTAAATATGAAATTTAGGTGTTAGATATGTAAATACGTAAGAATTCTGTAGTATGAATGTAAATTTTCCCTAAAAATAAAGTTCTATACCCTATATTCATCCAGGTGCTATTTTCAAGTGTGCATTAGTTGTCTGAAATGAGCCAATAAGAAAAGATCACAATATATTAGTCTACTCAACCCAGCAGATATGTCTGCAATTTGGAGTGAAGCAAATTCAAGTTAATCAGTTTCAAGAATGTACAACATGCCCGCGCTTATGTGTAGTTATTTATTATATAAAACAAAAGCACAACCTAACATGAAATCAATAAATTCAAGCCAAATTTTAGCAATTCAAAAGAAAAATGACCAACCCAAGGGGATGATAAGAATTTGATGGCTTTACAACCTATATGAAAAAAAGCACATAAGAACAAATATTTTGGAGTAAAGAATCAAGTTATGCGGTAAAAAAGTTACAAACTTGTATCACAAGCGTAACATCAGGATAGTTCATTCCACGAGACGAAACATCGGATGTTACAAGAGTCAGACATTTAGCTTCGCGAAATTCCTCGGAAATTCTTGTTCGATAAAGTTGAGGTTTTCTGGAATGCATCTCCCTAACGTTCATTTTTAAGTCTCGGAGTAGGACATGCATGAATGCTGTTACCATAGCAGTTGTGCAAAATACAATCACCTAAAAGCACAAAAGCAGTATTCATGGGGCCTTAAATGCCTTTTTAACTTCTTTTGCAGATATTTAGAAAATAAAAATTACGTTACCTTGTAATCAGGAACTTTCATTGTGTGCTCATTCAATAGTTGATAAACCAGATGAAAATGGAGTTCATGTGGTGCAACAAGGAACAACTGCACAACCTACAGTTTAAGAAACTATTTCACGTGAATCAACTCTAAAATTAACTTTAAATAGCGCAAGGTTAGTAATTAATATATTTGTCAATGAAATAAATGAAGATCATTCATAACTGAATATATTTTAATCAAATACGCATAAAGATCCATATCAAATTGGTTGATAGAAAGGTTTACATAAGTGTTCAAGGGACGCCCCTTAAGACACCTCATTATTAAGCACCCAAAACCACCTCGAAGCTGGTCTAAAAGAAACTAGGCCCTTTTTTTCTCTTTGAGAGAGACTGAGATGATTGAGCCGAAACATAAGATTAATACATAATTTTTTAAAAAAAATCATGGTATATAATCTACCTAATATAACTAGCCTGATAGAAAAGTGGGGAGGGGGGTTGGGGGCTGTTGTTGACAAGTATTAACTGCATGATGAGTCCACCAATCACGGAAAGCACAGCAAGAAGGAGAAAAGCTGCAAGCAAGGATGATTGCATGCAGGAGGTGTACTGTGAGGTTGGAGACTAGCGACTGCATGCATTCAACTGTGAGCAGGTAAGTTTTCTTTTATTTTTCTTCCAAAAAATAATTTAATTATTTAAAGTGTTTTATTCATATTCTATTTTTAAAAAAAATCTTAATTTCAATTTAAATATTTTAGGGAAAATTATATACCTAGCACCCAATTCTTTGGATTTATCCCCAAAGTTTCATTAGCACTCTACCTATGGATGAAAAGATGGATTTGACTATTAAAAGGTTATAGTGAGTGCTACTTTTCGTAAGGTATTTGTAATTATGAAAGTTTTAGTGCGAGATAGGTAAATATGAAAATTTTATTGTCATCTTCTCTCAACTTCATATTTTTAGTTTTCTTTTATTTTGTGAAATTTACACACCTAGCACACAATTCTTGTGTATTTTCATATCTTAATCTAAATTTCATATTAACATACATGACTATGGTGCTTTAAACCAATGCATGAAAAGGTGTAATTCACTTTAAAAAAATGATAATAGTGGTATTTTAATGTGATATTAAAGATTTGGGTGCTATGTGAGTAAATATGAAGGTATAGGTGTGAGGTATGGAAATAAATTAGAATTGTGTGCTATGCATGCAAATACCCCTTTAACCTTCTTTTTTCCTTCTAAACTTTTTTTTATTTTTTTAGTATAACACAACTTTTTTATGTTCATGGTTTTATTTTGTTTTTTAGTAGATACTTTTTCATTCTTTTTTCCTTTCTTAAACTATTTTTAACTGCCTTTTTTTTATTTTTCTTGGGGTTTATTTTTTCTTTTAAATGATTACATTTTCATCGACTTTTAAACTTACGGCTTTTTTCAACTTTTTAGTTCAAGCCATACAAAGAGATCTGCCTTGAGGCTTAGGCGTCATCTTGCCAATGCAAAATGTCTCAGTTGTCAAATTATCCTTTTAAATCTTGGTATATAAGTATGATGTTCTACTACATTTGGCTATCCATGATTAATGCAATTGGCACCCTAAAGTGTTAAATAAAGGCTGCAAAAATAATGCTACATATTACAAATGTCTTACAAGTAGACATTAACACAGCCTTTTAAAGATACTGATTTCTTCTAGACGATATTTCTTACATGATATCATAAACTTGAAAATCTGGGCAGCAGCATGTGAAACCCTGATTATGCAGTTGACACTAAAGAACAAAATCACACCTCACACATGCAAACATATGTATTACTGTTATTTTTTCATATGTAAAACAATTTAAAGTAGAGATGATCGTTTCTTAGTTTATACATATTGATAATAGGGGAAAAAAAACTTAGATTTGCAACATTAGCTTTTGTCACTTCGAAAAGCACCAATAATCTGCTGAAGAAAGGAAATGTTTAAGGGACTCAATTAAGCCAGAATTCTATACAAGCCAGCAATCAAAAAGAAAAATGTGCAGGAAAAAGCTACCATAATTATAATGAGAAATAAAATAGGCCAATCAAGCATGTTTTTGCAACCCATATGTTCAACATCCCCGTTCAGTTAATTTTTGCTGAAAATTCACAAAAATCAATCTGAGAATGATTTGCCAATTAATTTTTGACCGATTACAACTTATGTTGCAAATTCACAACAATCAACCTGAGATCGTGGTTCAAAAGAGCCATTAAGAAGAAAATTATGCCAAAAGGATCAAAATCATCATTATGAATTTCCATATCATTTATCAAGTTTCCGCACAAAGTTATATTGAACGTAATGCTTATGTAAAGATAATATTTTACTAAAGCATCAAGGAAACAAGTAGAAAATGGCTTGTTTTTGGCATGGTGTCTGCTCAGTGAATTTATCAAAAATTACAGATGTATTAAAATGGTGATAAATCAAACAATAGCAGGTAGGGATTTAGAGCTAAACCTTGTCATGGGTTTCAACATTTCCCAAACCAACAGTATCAACAAAGAAGTGATCCCGTTTCAAAACAAGCTGAGATATGCGGCGCACCTGAAATTCAAAAATGTATTGCATTTCGAGAGTAACTTTTTTACCTTTAAAAATATTAAAAAATTGTGAATTAAACATTTATTACTTCTTTAGGAATTGTAGCTGAAAACAACATTGATTGCCTCTGACGTGGAATGCAATCAACAATTTTCTCTATATCTTTTCGAAACCCCAAGTCCAATAAGTGATCAGCTTCATCAAGTATAAGCATTTTTAAACCCATCAGACGAACAGAGAATCCAGATTTGTTCTCAATATGATCCAACAGCCTACCAGGAGTTGCAACTATAATCTGCAAATATGTTTCATGAGAATGTAATGATGAAACTCAACTCCATTTAGATATCAAGAAACCCACATTGATTTTGTGGGAGGACATTCAAGCAACCGGGAGCTACTGCATTTACACAGAGAAAATAATACAAAGATGTAGTTGGCTTGTTTCGATTAGGAAGAATATTGATAATTGACTATATAAAATCAAACAAACAATATAAAGTAAGCTACATTACATAAATAGCATACAATTCTTATGTATTTTCATATCACTAACCAAAACTTTCATATTTACACAAATAGCACTCAAATCTTTAATATCACATAAAAAATAGCACTGCAATTTTTAAAAGAGAAATACACCTTTTCATGCATAGATTTGACACACCAAGTGTTGTGTATGTAAATATGAAAGTTTAGGTGTGAGATATGTAAATAAATAAGAATTGTGCGCTACATAGTAAACTTCCCAGATAGAAAATGAGAAAAACCTGGCAGGGATTCTCCTCGAGACGTTTCTGGTCAAGCTTGAATCTTGTACCACCAATAAGCGTTTGCAGACCAACTCCATTGTGGTATCTTAAGAGGACATTGGCCTCAGCAGCAAGCTGAATTGCAAGCTCCCTTGTTGGCGAAATAATGAGTACAAGAATTGGAGGAACACGGCTAGTTGAGTTGGTGCTCGAAGCTCTCACAACTGCCTCAATTGCCGGAAGCTGTTTATCAATATAATGAATTTTAAATAGTTCATGAAAGACAAACTGAACTTATACCATAATAAAGCATGGATAAAGTACCAGAAAAGCTGCTCTCTTTCCTGTGCCTGTTTTTGCTTTAACTAAAGCATCCTTGCCTGTTCAAATATAAACTTAGTTTCTGATAAATAAATAAATGGACAATATAATCTTAAATAGAAGTAGTTGAGTGTAGTGTAGTCCACCTGAACAGAATTAGCTGAGTAATACCATATATTTTCCTCAACTAGAAGATTTATGTACAAGCCATGATTATGGTATAATATCTTAAAATATAACAGACATTTTAAATTAGGGGATTTTACATACATGGCACTTAAAACATCCCTATTTACATATCTCACACTCCAAACTTTTAATTTACAAATAAAGAACCTAAATTACGGCACGTCTTCTTCACCTTTACCTGTTAAACTTCTCTTCTCCATTTGAATTCGCGAAAAATTCATTTTCCAATCTGCAAGAATAAAAGCCACATGCCCTCCCTTCACTTCCTTCAAGAAGAAAAAAGACACCACCGGCATGCAACAGTAACAGCAGCTCGTCGTCACATGTCATGAGAGCATTGCTTTGCCAGATTAATCTTGATAAGCTATTAGCAGAGAATCAAAAGAAAATTCCTTCTCTTTCCGCAAATGGCCCGAATCACGGCTGCATAGGACTTTTTTTCCCTTCATCTTCCTCCATAGAGCCTTGCCAAGGCCTCTGGCGGATCCAAACTCACGGAAAATCTTTCATCCTTCTTAGAGCTCTGCTCCTGTCTTCTTGTTTTCTCGCCTTCATTTGTTGTCTTAATCACATTCCACACAAGAGTCATCCTCTACATTTTTTCAATTTGGGAGAGATTGGCTCGCCACATTGATTGACGGAGCTGTTCTTGTCGATTGGAGAAGGAATTTTTTGTGAATTGAAATGGAGAAGTAAAATTAACGGTGAAGAAGCGGGCCATAATTTGGGTGCTTTAGTTGGAAATTAAAAGTTTGGAGTTTGAGATATGTAAATAGGGATGTTTCGAGTGCCATCTACCTAAAATCCCCTTTAAAATATCAACAACCACATTTGGAAGAGAAGATAGATCATCGAGATGTACATGATTGCTTTTCTATATTAACTTGAAATAAATAAGTAGCTGCACGCAAGAACAGTTGAATAATCAATCAAATTATGTTCCAAGATGTGTAAGGATGAAACAATAACTAAAAAAGATCTATGAAAGCTATTTTCAATATGTGCTTTAAAAAATTGGTCATTAGAAGTTGGTATGAGTTCCATTTAGTTTGGAATTGAGTACTCCAATGAAATAGCCTAATGTACAAGGTTGATAATTTAGACTTGCAATGCGATACTCTTGCAAGGCGATACTTGTTCATAATATTTACATAGCCATCGTTCTTTCATGAGAATATCAAAGCCATTTTTAAATGTCTCAGAATTTTCAATTAAAATGGCAGAAAATGAATGTTAAAGTTATTAGGTGAGACACTGGTAATATTTTTATGGAAGATTTACATGCATATCATATAATTTTTATCTATTTACAATTTACATATCTAACACCTAAACTATGATTTTTACATCAATGCCACCTTACTTATGCCTAAAAATGTAGTTTCAATTTTTAATAGTAATAGTGGTATTCTTGATTTGATATAAGATTTCAGAATGATAAATGTAAAAATTTAAGTGTATGTGTTAGATATGTAAATACATAAGAATTGTGTGGTATGTATGTAAATGTCCCTATTTTTATTTCAATGCTCAACAATATTGGAGTGTTAAATAGCCAAATAGGAAATTTATACATCCACTGGTTTTGCTTTCCCTACATAGGAAGAATCCCTACATGGGAAGAATCGAAGATATGGGGATACTGATAAATTTTTAGAAGATTTCAGAGTCCATGTACGGTCAAGCGAGGGATAGCAAAATCAAAATTTTGCTAAAAAGAAAGCTTCTAAAGTGGAGACTAGTAAATAATTTGCAACCAACCAACCCTATCAAGCTATGGCCGACCAAGTCATTTAGCAATGCAAGACAATTGTTAGAATCTCTTGCATATTTACAATTTACACATCTAACACCTAAACTTAGATTTTTACATCAATGCCACCTTACTTATGCTTAAAAATGTGTGTTTCACTTCTTAATAGTAATAGTGATATTTTTTATTTGATATAAGATTTCAGAATCATAAATGTAAAAATTTAAGTGTATGTGTTAGATATGTAAATACATAAGAATTGTGTGGTATGTATGTAAATGTCTCTATTTTTATTTCAATGCTCAACATTATTGGAATGTTAAATAGCCAAATAGGAAATTTATACATCCATTGGTTTTGCTTTCTCTACATAGGAAGAATCAATGATCCAAGGGGATCATGATAAATTTTTAGAAGATTCCAGAGTCCAAGTATGGTCAAGCAAGGGATAGCAAAATCAAAATTTTGCTAAAAAGAATGCTTCTAAAGTGGAGACTAGTAAATAATTTGCAACCAACCCTATCACGCTATGGCCGACCAAGTCATGGTGCAATGAATCTCTTGCATATACTAAGCATTTTGAAAATTTAGTAGTTAATCGAATTTTGAATTCATGTTTCCAGAAGTTCTCAACTTCTCTTAAAAATAGAGAACAATTATGGCTTACATATTTTCAGGATTTTATCTGCTTTTCCAAAATTTAGAAGTTCCTGACAACTTTCAAGACGTTAGCTCCTACTTTGATGATAATTTTGAATTTGAATTCTTGTTGCCAGATAATTCTCAACTTTTCTAACAAAGAAGGGACAATTAGGTTAATTGTAATGCATTATTTGATATGATGAAAACCGGGTGTAAAATAAAAGAAATGGATGGTTATTAAAAATTAGTTGTTTGGTACTGATTAAAAGTCAATTTTCCAAGTATTTGAAATTCACTCTTTAGCTCATTTTCAATGAATTTGAAATTCGCCCAATTTTCGCTAAATTTCAAAAAACCACACAGATTGAAGCTTTGTCTATCACTCCCACCAGCCACCACCGCTCGTTGCTCGCCTTTGTTAGCCTAATTTTACATTGATTTCATTTTTTTCAAACCAAACAAAAAAAATTAAAAACTTTTGCATTTATTTTACACCGAATCAAACAACTAAAATCTGTTTTAAATATTTCAGCTACAATGCATTCTTTTTTCAGCAAACCAAACAGCCCTTAAGTTTTAAATTCAATGAATTATAAATTCAACTTTTCTAATAAAACCTGCCCTAGTGTCTCTCTCTTTTCCCATTATATATGATGAAGTTTGACATATCAAAACCTTTAATCACACCAGAAATATGCAGTTGGAAGTACTATTATGCAATCTTACATGTGCACATCCCCATGGCTTCATGACTATGGGCAAAATACTTCTAAGGCAATGAAGTCTAAATACCAAAGAATCAAAAATCAAGGAAGTCAAAATTATGTCTCAACCTTCCAAACCTTTCACTATGGAGTCAGAGAAATATCAGTAAAACATGCGAGGGGCAAAAGAAAAAAAAACAATTACTTGTAGCTAAGCAATAATTATTGTAGCTAAAATTAAAAAAAAAAGTAAAAATGAAATAACTAACCGCATAAGCAGATATGTTTATATCTTTTATCATAAATATTACTAGGAATTATGCAAATAAAAAAAAAATGTAGTTGAGTCCTCTACATAAGCTCACAATTTAAACACATACTATGCCATACCATCCAGGCATACTGGAAGTGCAGCTTCTTGCACAATCGTCATGTTAACATATCCGGAAAAATTAAGGGCCTGGATGGTTAGGGGAGAAATGTTGTACTCATCAAATCTGAAATTTAGAAAAAGAAATCAGTACTAAAGCATCGAGGATGAAACATAATAAATAGCATACAAATGAGCAGAGGAAACATAATAAATAGCATGCATAAGAACAAAACAGATGCAGCACATACGAGCAACAAAATGAATGATTGAACGAGTGCTTTATAAGATTTTGATAAATTTTCCGCAAACCAAGATCATGATGCCCGGAGGTCATTGATCATTATCTTTCCTTTTTTTAAAATTTTGAATGAATAAAAGCCAAGTGTACAACCTTCGAAACATAAAGACGTCCTTAAAAAAAGTAGAGAGAATTAGAACAATCTAAGTGCTATTTTATAGAAAATTTTAGCCACCTCACAGCAAAATTCTTGAGCATTAAATAAGCAATGAACTGAACTCATCGTTTGCACTCATAAAAATATGTCAGGGCAAAAAAAAAAAAAAAAAAACTAAAGAATGTCATTTTTAAATTCTAGGGCAAAATAAATTTAAATTATATATTGTTGATTTTGTGGTATCCACACAATGACACAAATGTCTTGCAAATAGTAATGTGAAAAGTCGTCAAAATTTGAGAAGTTAAGTCTTAAAAGTAAAAAAGCTAAGCAATTCAACCAAGCTAAAAAACTTGGAGATATAAAATATCTATAGTAAAGCAAAAGAGATCAAGAATCTCTATTCAACTTTATTAAGGTTGAAGATTAAAAATTTTCCTTGAAGATTTAAACATCCAAAAAATAAGAAATGTTATTTTTCTAATTTTATGTTCCAGCCACTACCATAACTTCATTGGGTTGTCTGACCAACTATCTGACCATAAAATCAGCTTACATAATGGATCTTCCTAACGTGAAAAGAAATTAATCATCCAATATTGATGCAATTTTCAAAATTTTTGCTCCAGTCTCTACCATAACTTTCGTCGCCTAAGTCATAACTTTAATTTATATATAATTATTAAGATTCTAAACATCTCCTTAAATTTTACATATTTAAAAATAAAAACTTTTACAATCATTTGGCATTTTTTTATTCTTCAAAATTACATTAAAAGTTTTACTATCAAATAAAATTAAAATCACAAATAAAATTATCAATATCGTGGAACATCTCATAAGGATGTAAAACTAAACATTAATACATCTTCTGAAGAGTTACTCCTAAAATATACCTCATTATTTTATTCATTAAGCTCTAATAAAAAAAAACTGTTGGATTAATCGACAATATACCTCATTGTAATCATTGAATAACTTCTCAAAATAGAAATTTATTTTCTAACTAGGATCATATTTTATATTTGGTACATTTAGGGTATATTTAGGGCAGTCATAGCTATTTGAAGAAGTAGTTGTGAAGCTACTGCAGAAAAAATTATTCTTCGAAAAGTTGTGTTTATTACAACATTTTTTTTTTTTCATGCAGACCACTTGATTCCTACGTTTTCAACATATGTTACATGGCTTGTACATAAAATTTGAAGTTTGGGTGGTTGATGCATTAAAACATAGGAATTGGGTGGTAGGCAACTACATCTCCCAAACAAAAAAAAAATTATTTTTTTTGATATAGAAAGCAATACATGAAAGCTTTAACCGAAAGGAACCCAATAATGGACATCTTTATTGTTCAAATTTAATACGTCAATAAAGATGTTAAGAACAATGAGATAACGAAAACAAACATCTAAACAAAACATCAACAGGTGGTAATCACTCGATGATAGAAATATTATGTTTTGGCGAACAAGAGATATCCATCTAAAACCCCAGCAGCCATGGCCACGTAAAAAGATTCAAACCATGCAAATTAATTACACCATAATTGCAACAGGTTTGTACCTGAAATCTGAATTGTAATTTCTTTGTCGCATTACCTCTTCTGAGTAAGAATGGATCCTTCATCCACCTCCTGCCGATTGATATCGTTTTTAACAGAGGCCCTATTCCTTAACTCTTGATGGAATTCTCGTATATCTCTGGACCAGTCGCTCTCCTCAATATCAGGCTTAGGAGGCCTCCTTTTGTCCATCTTGACATCATAGTTCCTCAAAGCCGCCCCACTCAACATCCTCTTCCTATAATGTCCTCCATCTCCACGGTTTAAGTCCTTCTCAGAATCCTCCTCGTCCAGACTAAACCTCGGAACTCTCAAACCTTCAACTCTACCCTGAAATTTATTCAACAAACCCCCCTCAAAACGAACAAAAGAGTCGTCCTCGCCCTCGTCGCTGGAAAAATTCCTGCTCCACTTAGAGTAATTCCTGCGATGATCAAATGAGCCGATCGACCCTCTTTTTTCCGTCACAATCTTTCTAAGATCGAGAGGTCGCGGAGGAGGAATATTAGAAGGACGCGCATGAGTCCTGGATTTGATTGGACCATCATCCTCGTTCCAGAGATCCTCAGCGCCCTCTTTCATGAACCTATCGGCGAGGGCCCTGATATGATCCTTCGACGACATTCCGCCAGCGCTTGAGAAATCATCGGAGGCCGATTTTGCAGAGAATTTAGCACGGATCTCACTTCGGAGCCTCGCTTGATATATCTGTTTCTCCTGCTGTAAAAGGCGGTGCTCCTTCTCCCTGGCGAGCTTCTCGTGCATGCGCTTGTACTGCCACTTGTTGAGGCCGCCGGGGAAAGTGCGTGGGCCGCCGCCCATCGTGCGGATAAGGGAGAGGTTGCATAGGAGCTTCGGGAGCGATTTGGAGCGATGGCGGAGTGCGGAGATGGGCATTGCTGTGGAGGTGAAGGTGAAGGTGGAGCAATGTGTATAATTTTGTTTCTGGAAAGTAACGAACGGTGAGCTCAACTCGATTATTTGATTAAAACTTTTTTTATGTCTATATTTTAAAAGAAAAGGAAGATTTACATGAATATAACTATGGGCTGTAAAAAAATATTATATTATATATAGTGCAGCCAGTGCTGGTCTATTAGTAGAACAGACTTTTTGAAGGTGTTAAGTTCCCTCATATCATGGGTTCGAATTCACTTCTGAATAATTTGCCGAATAATTAGACATAAGAGTGTGGCTGAGGGTTCGTAGAATAGCCTTCGACCATTCTTTAAATATATATATATATATATATATATATATATATATATAATATATATGTGTGTGTGTGTGTGTGTGTGTGTGTGGAAGTTTAAATCATAACAGTGTCATGTGGTTCTCTATTTTTTATTGCAAGTGCATATTTGGATATAACATCTGCATCTACTTTTGTTAATTAACTTAAATGAGTTAATTCAAAGCCTAACGCAAACCAAATATGAATAGTAATATATAAATACAGTCTGTAGGAACATATTGTTCATGAGTAATTTCGAGCACGAGTCAATTTCAAACCAAAGGCGCTCAAGCTCGGATCATTTGCAGGCCTACATAACCCTTCAGCCTAATCATCTTAGGTAAGCCGTGAGGGGTTGTTGGTAGCCGGTATTAAGCAGAATTTACCCATGATTTAGGCTAAATGCTGAGATTTGGATAATCCCAAAATCATGTTCATTCACCGTAAAATCTTATGAATCGGAGGATTTGTTTGTGGTTTGTAATTTATTTTTATTTAGTATGATTTTAGTTAATATTAATTTATATATTATCAAAATTAAATATAATTAGATAAAGTTATATATATATATATATAACAGTTTCTTTATTAATCATTGAATAATATTAAATTATCATACAAAAAATAATTAGTTTATAAAACAAACAGCTGATCGGGATTTATTGGAATTTAATTACTAACATTCTAAGCAATTTTTAGAACTTAACCTCTTTAAAATTTGATAAATCTGAATTTACAATATTTAGTAATCCCATTCAAACTAAATCCAACTTGCAACCAAAGAGCCCCTTACTTTTATTTATGTTTTTTTTTTACTTATATAAAAAAAAAGTGTAATTCTTTTTATAAAAATTAAATAATACTATTTTGAGATATAAAACATTTAGATAATATTAATGCAAAAAAAAAGTAAAACTTAAGTTATAGATTAAATTTATGACTTGATTCATGTTCATAATGTGGATGGCTCTTCGCATTAAAACCAATTTAAATGATACTGAGTTCAAAATTTGGCGGCGGAGTTGAAACACACGAGCAGCTCGAGCTCGAGCTCGAGTCAACTCGGCTCAAAACCCCGACAAACATAATACAGTACATCCTGGTCTACTAAACCAAGGGAATTTAAGGAGGAAAACATGCAGCAGCAGGAGAAGCCAGCCAGATCCTATAAATGAGGAGAAAGATAGGAAAGACGAATGTGTATAATTTCATCAATTTGTTATCTAGGATTTACACGAATAGCACACTAAATTTTAGAATTTACATATTTAACATCTAAATTTTGCTGTTAAAGTACAAACCACCAAAAATAATAAATTAAAATAATAATAAAAAAAAACAATCCTTTTAACATACACGATATGAGTCTCCAATGTAATAATGGTGAAAATGGCGATCGAAAAATAGCAATTGTGTAATATCACACAAAAACATTAGAATTTGCATGTTTAGCACCTAAAATTTGTTATTTACGTACAGAGCACCCAAAATATTAAATTAAAATAATAAAAAAAAAACTCCCGTTTTAAGGGATTTAACCTTCTTCCTCTAAAGAAGCGCAACATCAACAGCAGCAGCAATAGCAAAAAAGAATGGGGCATTTACAGCATTTAAACTTTGATTTTTTACACTTATACCACCCAAATCATTCATATCAAATCAAAAATACCACCATTTAACTTTTAAAAAGCTAAATACACCATTTCATGCATGGAAAAGACAGGCATGTACATAACAATTTAAGTTTAGAATTAGATATGCAAATACATAGGAATTCAGCGGTGGTATGTATGCAAATCTTCCAGAAATAATTTTTTTTCATCAGAAGCTAAAGACAAGCTTAAAAGAACAGGAATAAGTTCAATGAAACTGTTGATCAAATGCTGATGCATAAAAGACAAAATCTGGATGATAAAAAAATCTTCTCTCTATTACAGACACAGATTGGAGAAGATAAGAAATGAAAGAAAAACCAAAATTGTACGATGGCTAAAATGGAAACTGTCTTTTGCTGTCTGTGTTTATAAAAGCTGTTGTGCAAAAAAATATCCATGAGAAGTTTAGAGAGCATTACATCAGGAATGAGATAAAAAGGCAGATATTAAGATCCAGATTTGTTCCGATTCAAAAGACTACTCCCTCCAGCCCCCGTAGTTCTCTTCAGCAAACCTGTGGTTATTTTCCTGCAAAATTTGGCGAGTTGAGGGTGGATCAGCATCAAATGCTTTATGGAATCAACAAGATTAAAAAGTGAGAAAAGTTGGTCATAAAAATCAGTAAAGCTGCTTCATTTATTTTTTTGAATGTTCTAATGATTTATTATACAATATTGCAAGGAAATTGGAGAGTGGAAATCTTTTTTATTGTTATTGGAAAGCCAAAGAAAACCTTTCTCATCTATAGAAACATGAATAAAACATCTATTATGTCTGTTGCTGTCGATAATGATGAAGATTACTAATATGCAAACAATTAACAATAAAATATTGTCGTAGTTTTCAAATCAAGTTTGATTTCATTATTGTTTCTTGTTTTCCATTTTGTTTTAAGAAGCTATTATGTTAAAAAAAAAATACTTGATTGCAAAATACTTCTTTAAATTTTTGGAAACCAGTAAATGCATTTATTTTATTTTACTTGAGATTGAAATTATAGTTCTGTTTCTAGTTTGGCAATGTGTCCATCGTTTGAGTTAGCTTCTGATGGAGATATTTTATTAAATTCTTGGTCACTGATTACTTTTGTATGATTTGAACACAAATTGGATGGTTATGAGTACTGCTACAATGCCATCGCCGCCTAATTTTGAATTCTTAGTACTTGTAAATAGGGCTGTCAATTTAGTTTGAAGATTGTTAATTGCTCGAAAATTAATTTGAATTTTAGCTCGGTTCGACATCAGATTGAAATAAACGAGCCGAGTTATGAGCCAAAACTTTGGATTGAGTTTTTTTCGAGCTATTTTCAGGCCATACAAGGATCAACTCGAACTGACGGGAGATCTGCTCGCATGAATTTTTATTTATAACAAAATATATATAATGCTAAATAAAATTGAATATAATGAAATACGAGCAGATTTCGAGCTGAAATGAATCTAATTAACTCAATTTGAACAATCTTATTTTGATTTCAAGCCAGATAAAGCCGATTTCTAGCTATAACAAATTTAAATAACTCAAATTTGAGCCAGATCGTTTTGATTTCTACTCAGATCAAGCTCGAATTAATTTCAAACCGAGATAGCCGATTTCAAACCAAACTCAATCCATTCAAGCTAGTTTTGAGCCGGCCCCAACTCGGCTCGAAATCAGCTAACAGCCCTGCTAGCAAGCCTTTTTCATATGTAAAACCTACAAATTTCTTGCAATAAGTTCTATTTTCATTTTTCTAACAAAAAGTGCAATAATAAATTTTTGAGGGAGTTGAATTAAGAAAAAAAAGATGCACCTCTGGAATGAAGGTGAGGCCAACTTTAATTTCCCCGCGATATTCTTCATCCTTCACAACATTGTATATGGTAGGAGGAATCCTTCCTTCTGAAAAGAGCGGCTCCAAGGAAATTCTACAAACAAAAATTATATCTCAATAAATAATCAACATCATATAATAATAACAAAAATTGTATTATAAAAACATAATTTAACTAGTTTGATTCCAGCGAACCTGCACAATCCAATATATATATATATATATATTGAAGAGGGCATTTACATACATACCACACATTTCTTAGGTATTTATATATATAAAGCCTACACTTTCATATTTACAAACAAAGCACTCAAATCTTTAATAGTACAGCAAAAATATTAGTATTACTATTTTTTTTTCTTTTAAAGTGAAATACAACTTTTCACTCATAGGTATGTACCAGCAATGTGTTATAAATGTAAATATTAAACCTTAAATGTTAGATATGCAGAGATATAAGATATATAGGAATTGTTGTGGTATGTATGTAAATTTTCCAAAAAAAAAAAAATGATGAAGGATGAGCATGCATGAAATTTTGAAACCATAAAATGCCAGATAAATCGAGTTTAGAAATGAAAACTAGAATAAGAATCCTCACTTTGCTTCTCCAACAAAATCATCTGAGAAAGTATCACTGTCCATTAATTTGATGGCGAGTTCGGGAACATCATCGGAGACATTGAACACAAACGTTTCATTCCATTCAGGCTCACTCCCTTTGCCTGAAAAACAAAAACCAACTAGTGATATGAAAATAGAAAAGTAAAATTATGGCAATATGCGTCAGTTATATAAATAAAACCCAACACATGCAAATATACTTTTTATTTTTTCTCTCTGAAAGGATTTGAACCCCAAACCTCCACTCCAAAGACAACTACGAATAACATTAGGCTACACGCAATATACGTTTATTATTGCTATACATCACTGACTCGGAAGGCTCCCAAATCTCAAGACCGTTTGCAATATTAACATTATGAAAATTGCTTTGCAAATATGAATAAAGAAAAAACATGACAGCAATCTAAATTTTCAAATAAGAAGGGGTGGCCAAGGAAAGAGATGGAAATCCAGCTCTATATAATATTCTCGCCATAATTTCCTATTCCAACTTCTAAATGGTCAGCCATCTTGTTAAGAAACTAGAAGAATATTCTCTAAATTAGTCTTTAACATTATCCATAATTTAAATAGATGTATGATACTTGGGACAAGGTTTGCAATTAGTTATAATAAAGAAGTATGAAATAGCTATTAATTTCTAAATCTCATAATGTAACATTCAACTAATAAGAAAATTCCTCCAAAAATTATTCTCTCAAATATTCAGCAAAGGAAAGCAAGTTGTCTGAGCCCGAAAAAACATTAAGACGTAAGATTCAAAGCAAAATCTTCAGCATCCTCCCTCTCTCATATTGAGTGGTTTAGAAATTATTATTCCCAAATATTTCCTATCAGCTCAATGGAATTAATGCCATCATTCAAATCTGTAGGAATGTCATTACGGTTTGTGTGAGATTAGGGATAAGCTTGAAAAATCCGTAAGGATAAAAACAAATTATAAGTTCGAAGAAATTGGAAGTCCGCCAATTTCAAAAACCACAAGTCCAAGCAAACGGTCAATCAAACAACTTTGATTGGATCTCTGATTGCTAAGGTGGAAGCACCACCACCTATCCAGATAGAAGGAGAGACATCTCATAAAAGACAGCGCTTTGCAAAAGAGAATCAATCACTAAAGAGATATGTTGATAAAAAATATAGAAAAAAATAGAATATCTTCCGTTTAAGATAGAAGTTTGAGTTGCCTATAAAACCTAGCCCGTTTGGCATCACTTTTGTTTTTATTTTTTAAAACATGTTCGGTTAGTATAATTTTTATATGTTTTTATCTTTAATTTTTAAAAACAAATCACCTTATTTTTAAAAATACTTAAAACACCTTTCTTGCAATAAGTCCTTTAGGTCTACTCCTACCTTTCTTGCAATAAGTCGAATATAAAACATCAAATCTTTAGAAATGCCCAAAACACATAAAATTTGTTGAGTATTTTCAATACATATTAATTTGTTTAGAAATAAAAAATAAAAACAAACAAAAAACATACTAAACAGATAAGTCTTTAAAAACAAAAAAAAAACATAAAAATAAAATTAATCCCAAATAAGCGCTAAGGTAATAGAAAACAGTTTAAGCTTCTAAAAAACATATTCCATGGCTCGCAACTATCTTGATAGGAGCGCATTTGCTCATTTGAAGTTGCCCTCATATGCTTCATTATGCTGAAGTTTACAATCTATAAATTATGATCCACCGGCCTTAAGCATCATTAAAGTTTTAAAGATTGTTAAAATTTCTATTCTATCCCAACAAAAATGAAGAAGAAAATTGGATCAACGGGAAATTAAAAGGAGCACAACCTAAAAAAGGTGAAAGAATATAAGAAGTAAATTGAAAGGGAGCTAACCATTTCAGAAACTTCGATGAATGAAAAATTCAGACACATGAAATATCCGACATACATCATGAAAGCACTCCTCATATAATCGGAGCTTTTTTCAATTTTTGACATCCTTGAAGCTTAAGACAAAACTGAGGCATTTGAGAAAAATAATGGGCCACTGAAATGTTCAAATACAAAGATGCAAGACACAAAGCAACTGTGACGTGGACCGCTGATATCGCAGGACCAGGGGACTGCGAACCATTGCGTAAGCAGGCGAAGATGCGCAAAGGCATCGCGGAAGCGGAGGAAGAACCGCGAAGCAGACCACGATCCAACACCTTCCTTTGGTTCTCTTCTTTATATATGAAGTATAACTGGCTATTTCTCTGGATTCTTCTTGCCTACTCACACTTTTCTTTCGTGTAAAAGTTTCCTTTGTCCGTGGGAGTCTATAAATTGTTGTCCTTTGTGTGTGGGAGTCGGTCTTTGCTGAGTTTGTTTTCAGATTTCTTGAATGGAGTCATTTTCCCTTTTGTAGGGTTATATCCGAGAAGGAGGTAGTGCTTTGATTGTATCCTACTCCGAGGTAGTGATGTATCTTTCCCTTTTCCCATCCCACTCATCCAAGCCGTCGGCTTGAAGTCAGCTCCTCCGGTCACTATTTTCCCTCACCAACCGCACTCCCACAGCCTTCCCCATTGTTGTTTGCACTTCCCTGCTCGTCGCCCACCCTCCTAAAGTGTCGGCGAGTCTTCCCAGTTGTTATCCCACCTTCCCAGCTTGCTACTCCAACTTCCAACCTACCTCCCAGCTACCCAACAGACCTTCCCGCCACCCTAACCTGATGCCCCTTGCTCCAGTTCTCGTTTCAACCCCCTATCAACGCCTCTCCTGCATTCACCCTTGCTGTCCCAAGCTGTCGGATCCACCTCGCCGAACTCCACCGCCCCTAACATATACCTTAAAGGTGTTTGCTTGTGTCGTGTATGTTTTTGTGATGTTATTTCTGTTATGGTGTGTTATAACCCTAGTTTTTTCTATTAATAAAACTTTGTTTTCATGTTTTTTATTATTTTTCCTACTAATTCCGGTATCAAGCTGATTATCAATATGTAAAAAAATTACTGGAATTTATATCATTAGAAATGGCCAAAATTGGATGATAATGAAAAAACCCCAACCACTATTTCAGAATAAGTAATTGAACAAGTGAAACCTAAAGAATTTATAGTTATCTTTGATGCTACTTGCTTTTATCTGGAAAAAAAATATTATATATCTAAGACTTTGTTTGAGAAACTGAGGGCAAGCACTAGCAAGAATCCAAAACCCTATTCTTTAAATGAGCAATAATCGCCGATTCAATAAGCAGGTTTAATAGTTTCCATTGATAAGATACTTTGCGAAGTTGAACCACTAGATTTATGTCATGCAATATTGCGTTGTCCATAATTGTGAGATGAGGATGCTAGCTTCTATAGAAGATGAGGAAAATAGTGCTTATAAGAGAAGAAAAAAATATGGAATCAATAATTCATTGTTCCACTCTAAAAGAAGATGACAAAAAACCACTAGATTAAATGATTACAAAGAGCAAATAGCATCATTCCTATAACAAAACGCTCTATCTGAGGTGTTGATCTATGCCAACTGAAGGAGAATAAATCATTTCATATTTCTATCATGCAGGTGCCCATTGTTGTAAGGAAGGAGAAAATAAAAAAACGTTTAAAAGAAAAAAAATAGTGCTCATTTGCAGAAGTAAATTATCAAAAACAGGGAACTGCAGTCATAACTTCAGAATGATTGATTTGTAAATATGAATTGAAGGACTTACAGAAATCAAAGAAATCATTCAGTAACCGATATTCTCCTAATAATTTTCTCCGTCTATTTCTATGTAGTCAGCAGCCCTTTTAGGTGATCTGGATGGATGCAATCTAAATTCAAGCAATAGTTATTTTCAATTCAATTTTTCTAAGCACTAAGGATATATGTCTTATCCATTAGCTTGCAATAGTTTTCAAGAATATCCATAATTTAAATTAATGTAGGATATTGAGCATGAGGTTTCCTAAATTTTTGCATCAATTGAATCATTTACATATGTGGTCTACCATCTATTTTTGTGTAAATAAGAAGTCTAATAATAAAATATTCAAGTAATAAACAAATGAAACAAATTTCTCAAACTCTTCTCTCTCCAATATTCAACCATGGAGGTCTCACCCAAACCTCTTATTCAAACTGCATCCACATAAAAAAAAGCCCTGAAGCATAGATTTTAAAGAAAAATTGTGCACTCCCTCCTTGAGAGGGTTAAGAAAACAGCCTAGCGAATATCAATTTCTCCATAAGTGGCCTAAATCATTTGGCCCAAATATTTACTATGGATTAAAACAGTTTGGGGATCAACCATTATCTCCATTAATCTTATCAGAACTATTTGTGATTGATGTATACTTAATTCATTTTTGTCAAATACTCTTTCAAAGATTCAAAGCATAATCCACTTTGGAGCTTAATAGCAACACAATTCAACAAAGTGATTGCTGATTAGTGCTTCTAAACATCAACCATCTTTTTTATACAAAATCTAGCCATAATACCTTTGGTCTATTCTTTTTTCATTCTAATCATTTTATATTAATTCTACCTTCGTATCTTATGGTGAATCTTAAAAAATCTTATTGGTGAATCTTCGACACAAAGTTTATTATCTATTAAATTATTCTTGATAGTTGCCATTTTCATCGTCATTCTTCTATAATTGTTTTTGACAAAGCTTTGCTACAAATCAATCTTAACATTCAAATTTTTGTTACACTCAACCTAATTTTCAACGACCCCATTGCCAAACTAAAATGCATATAACATACCCAAACTATTTACAATTTAATAACATATAGATTCCCAATAAACTTCTCATTTTAACCAAAAATCTTACTCTTGAAATTATGTTCTCATTGCCATCCCCATTCTTTTCTAAGAATGAAAATAAAACATTGTTGTAAACCAGCATTATTACTTTACTGAGCAAGAAATAGAATTTTTTTTCTTGATTAAATAAAATCTTTAATGCAGAAATTTTCTAATGCATTCAGCATCAAAATTTGTCTGTTATGTTCCTTGATGATGTTACAGAAATGCCTCGGAAGTGAAACCGTTCTTGGCACTTTAAATCCATAAAATCAATTGTTTTTTGAAAGGGGCATTTATAAACATAGCACACAATTGTTGTGTATTTACATCTCACACCTAAACTTTCATACTTCTGCACATAGCACTCAAATATCTAATATCACATAAAAAATGGCACTATTGTCTTTTTTTAAAGTGAAATACATCTTTTTATGCATAAGTTTAAATTACGAAAATGCTACTTGTAAATATGAAAGTTTCGGTATGAGATATGTAATACATAAGAATTGTGTGCTATGTATAAAAATTTCTCTTCGTGAAAATAACCTGTTTCACAATTGCATTGCGCATATCTGATACACTCATCACCTACTGAAGTCAACTAATCACAAAGCTATGCATATAAAAATAGAGTAATAAATGCAGTAAAAACAAACCTGTTGCAGTGCTGCTTCTCTGCTCCTGAGTGCGACATATCAGGATGGCATAAGGGTCCATATTATCTGTTTAGCAAATGAACAAAAAAAAAAGTTTTGAAACATTATTGCATTGAAGAATTAAACAAACGGAGTGAGAAAGTATTGTACCCTAAAGACCCACGTATTTAGATTACATATCGGAAGATGCAGAGAGAAACATGCACACTTGTACATGCATCCTACCTCAAAAATAAAGTAAAAAATAAAAATATTATGATCCTTAATTCCTAGCCTAGTCTTGCAGATGATAACAACTTCACGGTAAGGAGAGCTTCAAAAAAGTTGTGCACTAGAAAGGCTCTATAATGTTACCCATAAATAAACATTTCAAGTTCAACTGAGTGCTAGATTTACCATCTTTTATGATCCTTCTCAATTTAAAAAATTTCTGAAAAAAAATGTATATATTTTACAATGTACATAAAAACGCATAATTACATACTCAACAAAGAAATGGCAGAAATATGGATGTAACATATAAATATTCTTGCAAATACATAAAATCACCTTCAAGAGGAATAAATCAATAAACATATCCCTTGTTTAAAATTGCATGATATGAGGTGCGTCTTGAGGCCCACCTCAATGTTCAAAAAGAAAATGGAATGAAGCTTTCATCCCAAGTTAAGATGTGTTGTTTCGTCTCAAAAAATGCCTCAAACTTTTGATGTTATCTGTAAATTTTTTAACAAAATTATAAATAATTCCAATACACCATATCGATTAACTTATGCACCCAACATATTAAATAACAATAAATAAATAAAAAATATCCATAAAATATTACGTAGTTGAAATTCAAAATAACATATAGTTAATATTTTAATTAATATTTGTATTGATGATTATTCATTAAAAAAACATAATTGAGATTAAAATAATGAAAAATAGGAGAATATAGATAAGACTAAAAACAAGACTTAAGATAAATAATTTATGGTGCCGATGATTTTAATGAAAGTCAATTCGGAGGTGAGAGTAATTAAAAACTTCTAAGTTTAAAATTCAAATAATAAAGGCTTGATATATTCTTGTTTAAGTGGGGGCTCCATAAGAGAGAGAGAAAAATTTATGTTGAACTTATTTTGATTGTTGGGTTCTGATATTTTAGTAGTTTATTTCAATATCTTAGCTTACTATAGTAGTTTAATGTTTGTATGACCGATCTTGTTTCATAATTGATACTAGGATATTAATGTGGAATTTCTAATTTTTATGCATTTTAATATTATTTTTTAAAATTAGCTAAAATGTTTTTTACTTTTTAATGTGTCAATAAGTTAAGACTATTAAAATGTTATTTCTCACTTCTTTATAATTTATATAATATTTATTAATTTACATAATTTTTAAAATTTAATTATTACGCCTCAATACCCAATTATGCAATTTTAAACCTTAAATGTATATGCATATAATATATGGAAAATTTTAACTGCCATTTAGAAAACTTTCATGCATGCAACCTCATAGACATTTCCCACACAAGGCCTAGAAAATTAAGCTATATAAGTTTTGAATATGTTGACATTTACATTGTCCAAGAAGATAATCTGCCATATTGTCCTTCTATTTTGCTTCCAATACCGTCGGATCTTATTTGTGAGAAAAATATGATATTCAAATAGTTATCAATGAACTAAAAGTCGCATACACAGCCTAGAGGTCACATACAAATATCAAAACCAAATCATAACCATCTATTCTTGGGATATCAAGCGAGAAGAAGAAATTTAATGCTGTCAAAACATTAAGGTATCTATCCATTACCTTCTAAGCTGAGATAGGTGAGTTCAGATCAGTAAGAAGAAATTTAATGCTGACAAACAGCCGAATACTTTATCATGATTAACCAGTTTTCAGGTTTTACTTCCTTATAGATTTACTGGAGTTACATGATTCACAAGACCCTATTTAAGTTGAATCACAACCATACACCACCTAATTCAACCTTTTTTAAGTTAAATCACAACATCCTATTTAAGTTGAATCACAACAACTATTTAATTAAGATGTAAGGCAAATGCAGTGTGTAAGATAAGTAATAAAGAGAGATCTGAAAACTTATTTGGATGATTGAATTAAAGCCAGATCCATCCGCTCTACATTCTAACCCTAATTAAAATTCTACCCCCTTAGGAAAAATACAATAACGAAGAAGATGAGCATAGACGACTCTTACTGAGAAAGTCGGAGTCCTCGAGGCCCTTGGCCCCCACGAGAAGAACCTCAAGAGTCCCCCGAACCATGCTGCTCGCTCTCAACACAGAATCGACGACCTTCAACAACCGGATCTAGGAGAGGAATAGCGGGGAGATAAGTCGGGGAGATAGAAGAGCTGGCATTTTATAATGAGCGAATTTGATTCTGTACGAGTGATATAAATAGTTAAATGGGGTGTGGTGGCAGCAAATATTAACCACGCTTAAGTACTTATATTTAATTTGATGGCTTGAATTAAGTGGGGGTTGTACTTTTTTTTTTAAAAATTTACATAAGTGATAATTTTCTCTTTCCCTTTCCCTTACTATAAAAAATATTTCATTCGAACAGTCAATTACCGACCGTCATGTTGTTTGTCGATGAGATGTATGACGACGTGGTGCCTAGCAAATGGTCGTTCGGACGTACAGTGTTCAGACCGAATAGTTTCTTTCATAACTCGTCTCTGGCAGTTGTCGTGTCTTCATTTTGAGACAATATTGTGTCAAATATATGACTAATTGTTAGAGGACAGTTCAGCATACACGTTGAAGTAGTTCCAGCTCAACTCGACTTAGCGCTAGTCAATTGGTCATCGAACACAATATTTTCTCCCTTTTCGAAGCCACGATAACCCTAACAGTCCGTCCGACAACATATGACAATTCCGCTGTATTTACATACTTAAAAATTATAAAATTTTAATTCAATTAGTTATTAATTCTATTAAAAAAACATAATTAAGTTTGACTTTTTCATTGAAAATTAGCAAAGTTGAAAATTAAGACTGAGCAAATTTTAAGAAAAAAAAATTTTTTATTGAGAGAAAAATTAAAATTGTAGAGGGAGGCAATGACCCTAGGGAAGTATAAGGTAGTTTCCCTTAAGTGCACGTGTGATATGATTTCTGTACGAAAAAAAGGTTTCATAACTTAAAAAATTAAAATAGTGACATTTTTAATCTAAAATGAAAAATTTAATTCCTATAAATGTAATAAATATAAATCATGTGTTAGATATGTAAAAATGTAAGAATTAAGTGGTATGAATATAAATGAAAATGATATTTTGCCTGGATATTCATACGTCTGGAAGACCAATTACTGGCGACAATATCGCCCGCAATAACGCGTATGACAATATAGCCGCCAGTCATCTCGACGTGCCAGGTGATGTGTGGATGTAATATTTTATCATCTAAATCACCCTAAAACTATTCGCCTAGAAAAAATGTATAAAAACGAAAATCGAAGTTTAAATTTGGCGGCAAAGCACTAAAATTTTCCCGCCTTCAAAACTTGGCAAAAGCCATTTCTTCTATGCTGCTCTTCAATCTCCGTCGCTGAAATAGTAGCAGGATGCAGATCCGCTTGAAGTGCAGCTGCGGGGCGGAAGAATGCCGGGAATGGGCTATCATAGAGCTACAGGGTGTGGTGGAATCACATCCATCCATCGGTGAAAATCTCCAAAATCTCGAGATCGGTCGCCTCTGCTGCGTCTCCAAAGTACTCTCTCTCTCTTCCGTCCCAATCCTATTTCGATGACTTCATCATTTTCTGATTATCTCCGATCATCTCTACAGGGAAACTACACATTTACAGTCGGCTACCACGAGCTTTCGGGAACGAAAGTGGCTCTCAAGAAGCCTTTGCTAGTGCTTAGGAAGAAGAAGGTTGAAGCTGCGTGCGAGTCGGATTATGCTGATCCTTCGGGGGTAGAATTGGAAGTTATCGGAATAATTCGTGATCGAATTATCTTCAAGACACGTCCCAAGGCTCTGATTTCAAGTACCACTTTTGCCTTTCACCTATTTGTTGTAATTCCTCTGCTAGTTGGCTAAACTTCTGCGCATTTTTTTCAGAGCCGCAGGTAAAGGATAAGAAGGCAGTTCAATGATCCGAAGAGCAAAAGGTTAGTTGTTTTATTCAGAAGAAAGTTCTTCTAATTGTTGTAAAAACTTGCTTTGCCTGTTCTGTAACTTAAACGTTTCAAATTTGATTTAATTTATGAGAGCTTCTTATCAAATTAATTAATCAGAAGAGGTGCAGTTGGCTGTAAGCAATGATCATACACAAGCTATAAGTTTATCTTAGTGGATAAATGCAATACTTTTATTGGTTGGATTCTGCATTGTCTATGAACTCTCGCCGCTTGGGGAGAAGCTGTAAAAAACAGGCAAAATAAAAATATAACGAGTGTATTACTCCAAATAGTTGTATTATTGGAGATAAAAAAAAACACTTAATTATTAAAGAATTCATATCATTATTAAGATTTAATTTATATTTCCAATATTGTAGTTGGTTGAATGATAATGAAATATGTAAATTAGAAAACTTACAGTAATATTCACAAAATATTAATATAAAATGTAGTAAGATCTATCTACCAAACAAAGCTCAACATCAACAAAAAACTAAAATAAAAGGATCAAGTTTTTGCTAGATATACATGTAATAATGTTTTAAAATAAAGTGTGATCGTAACTTCTAAATTTATGAGTGAATCACATAATGTCAATCAACCAACAACTTGTAATATAGATCTGAATATCCTGACTTAATATTCATCAGAATAATCTTATAATCAATATATATCAAAGATTATATTTTATGATCTTTTTATGTTAATTATATCTAAATTAAATTTATAGTGTCTTATTATCTAATCTTTCATTTTATATTAAAGATTTTTATCATTCTTAACAATGGCTATATACATCAAATTTCTATAAATTTACATATCTAATACTTAAATTTTATTTACATCTACAACACCAAATAACACGTCAAAAATATAATTTTTTTAATTTTTAATAGTGAAATTCATCATATCCTTTCATGTATAGTTTAAAGTGGAATGTATAACACAGATCTTATGTATTTAGATATCTAATACATTTTTTTTTACTTGCACTATGCCCAAACCTACAAATATAAAAAGTATTATTACCAACACCTTAAAAGTGAAATATAACATTTCATGCATAAATTTGACACCAAAGTAGTATATGTAGTTATAAATTAAACATCAAAGTTTATGTAATCGATGCATAAATACATAAGAATCCTAAAAACTAATTACATGGATATTCGTGCAAATTTAAGAATCAGTGCAATTTAAGCGTTACAGGTATATAAATATATATAATATGATTATATATGAGTATTTATTATTTGTTTTGTAAATATTATATTTAAGAGGATGTTTTAAACAATAAAGCCTAGCATCCATCTGATGAGTTCCAAATCAACCCATAGTTAAATATATGATTACATTTCTAATAAATAAACTAAAGTCTTTGTCTTCCACCGATCCTCCCATATATTGATATATATACTTCGTTCTTCGGCTCTGACGCTTAGGTAGAATTAATTAATGGAGAGATTCTTTGTTCTTTTTTCTCTTATGCGGAGCCTTTATTTATTCTCGATATTGAACGAGAAAGAAAGTAAATTTTAGGGTAGCATGAGAAAGCAAGAGAGAGAGAGAGTACACATCAAGTTAAGGTTTAGTTTTTTTTTTCATTTTGTTTATTATTGATCCATTAATCTCCTTATTGTTATGGATGTCAAAAAAACTCGTGGTTCGCGAACAGTTTATGTTCAACTTGTTAAATAATTTGTGTTCGATTCGTTCGATAAACAAAAGAGTCGTACACGAACATATTCTTTGAGCTCAATTTATAAATGAGCCAATCAAGAATAGATTTTTCCTCAATCATCTTCGACTCTCTTTGGCTTGAATTAATTATGTAATAAATAAATAATATATAGAAGTAAATCAAATGATGTAAAAAGTTTTGTTTATTAAATTGTAAAAAAGAAAAATTAGATGTTAGATATGTAAATACATAAGAATTGGGTGGCATGGGTCTAAATACAGATCAGATTTTACAAAAAAATAAAATTTTGGTGCTAGATATGTATATATACAAGAATTGGGTGGTATGTTCCAAAAAGCCCACCGCTAGGCTGTTGATGTTAAAATGTAAATACAAAAGAATTTGGTTGCATTTATGTAAATGTCCTTAATGTCTACTCTTGTGGTCTGCCTCAACTTCTCTCCATTTGGTTTTGTAACTTTTGTCCCGCATCACCATATCAAAAAAAGCTCTATCATTATGTAGAATCATCAATAACCTGCAGATAGGCACGACCAACAAGATCACAACATTTTTAGTACCAAGTCCTTCAAGGGTTTTAAAAGAAAAATAAGTTTCATAAAAGCATGCATTTGTTAAGATGCATTAGATGTACTAATAAACCAATCACACTTTAAGTGAATTAAAAGAAAAATTAATTCAATAAATCATCTCTATAATAGAAACATAACATGTTTTTATTATTTTAATTCTCATTGCAAAACTAGAACATCATTTAAAAATTTGTAACTAGTGCATATTCATTAGCAAAATCCCTCTCATTAAAGGTAAAATATGAGATATTACTTACTGCTGTTTTTTATTTAGTTAACCTCCTAATTGATGAGCTCCTGCAACTGAAGATGCGGCCGCAACAGCAGCCACACGTATCCTGCAAATAAAAACATTAAACTTACAACATCTTTCCTTTTCAAATTATTTACCATTTGTGATGAATGGTGCTTAAGACAAAAAAAAAATGCAATTACCTTTTGTGAACGTCAACATATTCATCAGTTTCATCCACAATCTCATCCTACACAACAAATACATCCATTATGAGCGTAATAAAAGCAAATAACTCACATTTAATATAGGTTCTTCTCCAAGGAAACAATATCGAACACAAGCAAGATGCAATAAACCCCGAATATTGCAAGTATTGACAGTCCAAATATAGGCAGAAAAATTGCAATACTCATTTATGCAAGGCGAGGCCACAAAAAATATCGAACAAGTGCTAACATACAAGCAGAAATCATTCCAACTCATGGAAGTTTGAATGATCGTGGTTTAATAAAGGCACTTGCTAGACATAATGTAAAAAAGGATGGAAATGCATCCTAGACTTACTAAACGACTCATAACTATTGAAACAATAAAAGAAATGAGTTGCATGTACCTGAAGGAGTTCTTCAAACACATCCTCAAGAGTGATGATGCCGATAACCTCTCCATCTTCAATATCCTCTGATGTAAGACCCGAAGTGGGGTTATTACCTTTAGCTTGTTTTTCTGGACCCTTATCTATGTCCACCACAAAAGTGTCGTCCTCTTTTGATAGGAAAGGAGTTGTCAAGTTTGATTCGTCAGAAGCTTCTTTATTTTCTTCAGACTTGTTCTCTTCAATGGGTGGAAGACTCTTTATTTTTACATTAGTCTTGACAACAACAGCTATATGGCTCCTTCCCTTCTGAAACTCATTTAATATATCATATAGAGGCATATTTGCTGAGACCCTGAAAAAATTTTAGGCATAAGAAAATTTATGATAAATATCATAAAAATGAAAAAAAAGTAAATTTGAGAAACCTAGGAATTCTTCTTATAGAAACAACATTAACTGGCGTCTCTGTCTCAGCACGAACAGCGAGAAGACTTTTCGCCTGCAGAAGAAATTTACAAAGTTAAAAAAACCCAAAAAAATGTACAACATGTATATTTTTTGCTGAACAAAACAATAAAGAGAAGTTTAGAGCGGCAGAGAGTTGGCACCAACCAGTAGAAAACCAATAATGTTTCTTGGGTTTCCTGAATAAACAGGGATTCTGCTGTGGCCCCGAACTATGATTTTGCTAAAGGCTTCCCTGTAAAAGAACAACGAAAGATGTCTTAGAGTCTAAAATTTGTTAATGCAGATTTACAATGAAGAATAATCATACTCACATTTAAATTCATAAATGACAAATTTTTAATTTAGAGAATCTAAGTACTTGGATGAAAACTAAAAGCACAAGGAAAACTATTCAAATGATAATTTTAATAGTAATTTACTATAAATACTACATAGAAATCTAGGCTTAAAAATTCATTCAATCAATTGAAAAAAATATATATATTGTAATAAAAATAAAGCTTGAGCATCAAAACATAGACAAAACACTGAAAAAGTAAAGATATTGCACAAGATTCGACACTCACCAGTCCAACTTTGAATTGACATCTAATGAGAATGTGGATTTGGATTCAATTGGTGTCATTGCTTCCTCAGCAGTCTGTGTATTAGAAAAGAGATATTTAAGGCAGATATTCATAAGAGATGATATAAAATAACAAAAAAACATTCATGGACAGAAACAGTAATAAATGAGTACAAATGCAAGACAATTTTTATGCTAGAAAGAAATCTCATGCAGAATTGAGTACAAATATAAGACAAATTTTATGCTATAAATAAATGAGTGTAAAAATGTACAAATTAATTAGCGTCAACAATATAGTTCATTGATAAGATTTAATTTACATATGAGATTTCATAAAAAAGTCCAAAAATTCATTAACCATTACTTCAGATATGGAAAAAGTGATTTTTAATTTATTTTTTTATTATTTTTTTATAAATTTAAAAAAAATTGTTATAACATACCTTTTCTGTCATATCAAGAGCACCATTTATTATTGTTGTTTCAACATGGGAGAGCTCTCCGCCATTACCAGCCTAAAATGTTAGCACCACAAGAGAACACAATATCAGTCATCATATATGTTGATAAAATTAGTAATTATAACAAATAAACTTTTTAAAAGGACAATAGGCTTAAGTTTTTTTTTTTGTGAAATTAATGTACCTCTTTGCTATGAATAGAAACGAGTGTCTTCAAATGAGCACGCCTAAAAATTGCTGAATCACCATGTCCAAGCGCACAATCCAAAATCTGACACAATTTTAACAAGTTGAAGATGAGCTTACTCGGGCTTTCCTTAATAGAACTATGTAAAAATGTTTCTGAGAAACAACGTGAAAAACAGAACAAAACTTGTTTCTCAAACAAGAAATCTATCTTGGCGTCGCTGTGTCTAATAAGATTAACTAGTCAAGTGCAATAATAATAAAAAAAAAACACTAAAAGGATCATGAAAGATCTAAACTACGATTTTAACATGCATACCACCTGTATTTAGATGTCTAACACCTAAACTATGATTTTTACATTTATGCCACCCAAAACTTTCATATGACATTAAAAATACCGATATTTAAACTCCTAAAAAGCGAAATACACCATTTTTCTGAAATGGTATGGTGACATATATGTAAAAATTGAAGTTTAGTTGTTAGATATGTAAATACATAAAAATTGACTGATATTCTTGTAAATTTTCCATGATTCAAATACCTTTCCAATTGGATAAGCTACAGGGTAGCAAATGACCATTAAGATTCGCACAAGCCATATAAATTTTGCACCCACGGCCAAGCCATATCTTGAACATATGGCTTGAGGAATAACCTGCAAACAGAAACATAAACAAACAATAACGTCTAGGCTAATAAATACATGCTAAGGAATTCCAAGCTCTGAAAAACTGCAATATAAAAGGGGAACAACATACCTCTCCAAAAACCAGAACAAATGTTACAGACAAGATAACTGTGACGACTGGATTAAAGATCTTATCAAGAAATAAAGGGAGGGCCTGTAATGACATAAAAACATGAGACAACCTAGAGGTATAATACAAGTAATAAAAAAAGTAAAAAAATATTCTTATAAATATAATTAGGAAGATTTACATACATACCACTCAATTCTTAATGTATTTACAAATCTAACTCCTAAAATTCAATTTTTACATATATGTCACCTTACCTGTGCAAGAAAAGGTGTATTTCATCTTTTAAAAGTTAAAATAGTGATATTTTTTATGTAATAAGAAACATTTGGGTGCTCTAAATGCAGAAAAGTAAAGTTTGGGAATTGGGTGTTATTTTTGTAAGTGATCTTTATAATTATTTACAAACTTAATATTTTTAGGATTTATAATACATATCAAACAAACATATTACCATGCAATCTTAAGCTTCAAAAAGACATAAACAGTTAAGATTTCATATAATTTATCGTCATCAAAAAATTTCCATGAGAGACAAAATAATGCTAAATATAAATTATTGCATAAAAAATATATTCCTTCCTGCTGTGCAATGAGAGCAATCTCTGACTACATGCCTAACAAAATACATTTCCATAAACATAATGAGAACAACCTAAAAGTATCACACACAAGTTAAAAAAAAATCTCAAGTATATAATTATTCACCAACTTAATAAATAGTTCCGCCAAGTCAAGGACATTTAGATGCATACCTCCATGGCAGCAGCATTACACAATAGCAGAGTCACCAGAAGTTGATGTCGCTTTTTAACAACAGGGAGAATGGTAGCTGCAACAATATATCAATTTAATAAATGTAAGACCAACTAGCACAAGAAAAAAAAAACTGCATCATGGCTCAGCTAGTTTTAAGCAAGTAACATTACTAGCAACTCTTAAATCATAAGATCAGAGAGTACTATTCAGTAAAAAAAAAATGCTAGCCAGCAAATCCATATTATAGTTATAATCCCTTAGCTTACAATTAAAATTAAAGCTAGGAGTTGCAACATTTATCGTGAATCCTAACATTGAATGTTTTATTATGGCTGTCACTAGGTTCTAGATGAATGTGAAGTTGAAATATTAATGGGTATGATATATTGATTTGGGTGCTTTAAATGCAGAAAAAATTACTACCCAACACTCAGATCAACAAAACATTAATCTAATAACAATTTTATTAAATTTTTTTTTAAATCTCCATGATATCATCTTATCACACAATAATATTAAGTTATTTTTCTATTTTAATCATCCAATATTAACGCCAAAATTATTTTCACATCTAAATCTTCGTTACTATATACAATATATCTGAGATACTTGACCTTATGACAATTATGGATAATTGATTCTTCTAGCTTTACTTATTAATTTATCTTCTTTTATTCTTCCTTAGTTGCGAGCATAATATACAAATCATAAAAAAAACTAATTTTATCCATTTTTTTATAGTGATTATAAGTCTCGTTAGTATTCAACTTTTCTCACTCATAAAAAATGTACTTCTTGTAAACATTTACCACAATCGTGGAAAATATAGTTTGTAAAAATAATTTATCTCTAACATTGAATGTTTTATTATGGCTGTCACTAGGTTCTAGATGAATGTGAAGTTGAAACATTAATGGGTATGATATAAAAAAGTCTTGATTCTAAGACTCAACAATATTCAATTTTTGTCACCCTTCAAAAAAGTATCTCTTCTAGTACAATCACAATTATCGAGAAAAAAATATAGTTTGCAATACTAGCACATTGAGAGAGAAATTAAAAATTTGTGGCAATCAAATTTTATTTATTGTAGAATGCATTCACTAATGCCCAAAAACTTGGTCTCACCTTTAGCATATGTTGGGCTCATGCTAGATAGAAAAAGAAGATAGGTTTGTAGAAGGAAAGCGAAAAACCACACCTAAACACCAAAGCGGAGGTGAGAGACGAAAACTTATTAAGTACGCCTATATACACATCTTAAATCTAAGATTTGAGATAAAGCGCAATAAATAACTAATATGAGATTGTTAAAATAAATTATGAATCTAGAATGACTTGACATTAGATTTATCAAAACATGGGGATTTTGTAGGACAATAACCATTTATATAAGTGGCTACAGTTGTATGAATTAAAAATGGGGATTTTGTGAGGTGAAACAAATTCAGATGGTAAAACTATGCATCCATACTTAGCACATCAAAAGACAAACCATTGCACATCAAAAGACAAACCATTAAGCATAGCTATCGGCGAAACCTGCTAGATTGACCTAACTTCATTAACGCACCTGCCCGCCGCTTATCGGTTGCTGTGCCGCTGCGATGCAGGATCTCGAGCTCGACACTGCCCATCGACATAAGGCCCAGGGTAAGCCCCGACATGATACCTGCGAAAAGCACGAGAAAACAGGAGATTCCGGCGTTCGCCAACCACAAAGGCGAACCAAAAGGGATAGCCATCCCACCGCTCCCGCCACCCCCGCCCCCGCCCCGCGGGCTCCGGCCGCTACAGCTATTCTTGCCAGCGCCAGAGAATTCCAAGGCAGCATCTTAACTCACCTCACTGCCTTTGTCTCTCTTTCTCCCCTCGGCAAAGGCAAAGCTCCACTGTCAGTGTCGAGGAAGTTAGGCGAACAGGAACTGCCCAGGCGGAACGTTAACATGTTCAAATTCTCTCGTTCAACTCGGTTAAAACGTACGTATTCAAATTAGCTCGACTCGTAAATTTAATATTTACATACATACCACCGAATATATATTTATCTAGAAAACTTGTTTGAATTGTTAATTTACTGTTATTATTATTTAAATTACCTGGTTATTGTCCATGTATCAAATAGTGATCACTTGGTATTTTATTCTGCTGTAAAATGAGACGTCAAACAAGTTCTCCAATTCTTTCATTGGCATTAGCAATTCCTATTAAAACTGCTAATTGCAATGACACCCGTATTTTTTATTCATTTGGAAGCTCGTTAGGAAGTATCTTGCTTCTTCACGTCTCTGTTAACGGTCAAAAGCTCTCAACAGTTAGAGGAGGAACTTCTATTTCCCATTTTGAATTCTTCTGTAACCGTTCAAAAGAAACCTGGACGCGGTGACGCAACATTTTCGATGAGTTGCTTTGATAAAATAACCCGTTGGAATATTGTGGGAATCCAAGGTTTGATTTCTGAATAATATAATATTACTTTCTTACATCTCTGCTGCCTAGAAGCTCTTGACTTTGCATATATAACTTGGACATGTCGTGGAAATTTCTTTATTTTTTCATGGTTTAAAAATTTGATGCTTTATCTTTGTAATTTTCTTGAATTGAAATTGAATTAAGATTATACTGAGAGGAATTGAAATTGAATTAAGATGATACTGAGAGGAACGAGATAAGCTTCCGCAGGAATTAAGGCAAAAACAATAGATTTTATTTCGTCGGTACTAAATCAAAAAAATATAGTACGAATACATAAAAGACGAACATCTATAATTCAGGAGGTAGGTGATCTCTCCCAAATCGTAACCAGACAACAATCACACATAACATAACCCTAAACATTTTAAGTCCTTTTTATACCCCATAATAATAACTAGCAAATGATTAAATTATCCTTTTAGTCTTACGCCTAAGATAAGTTTTCAAGTCGACGGCCCCAGTCTAACAGTTATGTATAAATTAGTTGTTTGTTTGCTGTATAAGGAAGGTCTCTGTTTTCCTGATAATTTGTTTTCGATATGCCATCTGTAACCTAATTATGCTGTTTGGTTTTGTGGTTTTGCCTTTTATCTCTAAAGTGGAGGTCCAAAGATCAAACCATAGTTTAATTTTGCTTTGTTTTTTTTATTCCGTGGAGATTTTTCTTGCAATAGAGCAGAATCCAAAGAACTGCATTGGTTGAAAATACTTTCCTTTTTGACGTTTACGCTCCACATTTGTCTCATTTTGATTTTACATGAGATATTTACATTGTTTTCTGTGTATTTGAAATGCTCTTGGGAGAAAAAAATTAGAAGAGATGTTGAAGTATGGAAGCTAAGCACGCATTTCTTGTTTTGTTTCGTTGTTTTGCAAGTTGCTTGAATTAATAACTGTATTCGTTCTGATTTTAACTGTTTAGCAAAATTCTGAAAATTTTTTAATGATTAGTTAGTGTCAGCATCCAAAAAAAGAGCCATTTAGAGTAGGTTTTATGAGCACATGAAATTCATGATTTTCTTGAAATAATTGGAGAATCATACCCAGTTAACCTTTTATTTAATTTCAGGTGCCTTGCTTTCTAATGCAACCAGTGTATATTTCTTCCTTGACTATTATAAAATCAGGTGCCTTGCTTTCTAAGGAGGATCTACATATGTTTTTTGTTAATTTGGAAAAAGTTTATGATAAGGTTTCAAGAGAATTTCTTTGGAGAGTTCTAAAAAAGAAAGGTGTTGATATGACTTGAATAACAAGTCATTAAAGATATGTATGCTAGAGTTGTTTCTTGCGTTTGAACATGAGGATTGATCATGTTTTTTTTTTTTTTTTTTCACTTGGATTACATTAGGGATCAACTTTAAGCCCATATCATTTTGCTTTAGTTTTGGATTTTTTACTAGACATTTTCAAGAGGTTGTACCTTGGTGTATAGTATGCTTTCTGCTAATGATATCCTTCTTGTGGATTAGGCTAGAGAATGAGTAAGAAAAATTCAAATTATGGAGGTCAATTTTTGGTTCTAAAGGGTTTCGTTTGAGTAAATCTAAAACTGAATACATTGAATGTAATTTTAGTAGTAGTAGATGTAGTAGCAGGATTGTAACAATGGTTGATCAAGTCATTAAAAAAGAGTAAACAATTTTGATATCTTAGGTTTATTGTTCATAGATGGGGATGTTATTAGTAGAATTAACATTGGATGGTTGAAGTGGAGGAATACATCTAGCCTATTGTGTGATAGAAAAGTAATCCTTAGACCTTAACGGAAAATTTTAGAAGCTGGTGATGAGACGTATAATGTTTTATGGTATAGAACGTTGGCCTATAAAAGAGAACAATAAAACTAAGTGTTGTTGAGATGAGATTGCTTAGGTGGATGAGTTACTTTACAGTTAGAAACAAAATGCGAAGTGCATTAGTGTAGCTCAAGTGACAGACAAGATTAGAGAGAGTTTTCTTAAATGATTTGGTCACATTAAATTTCGATCATCTGATGATCCAATTAGAAGAGTAGATGTTTTAGATTTAATATGTCAAGAAAAGTAGAGGTAGATCCAAAAAGACTTGGGCATGTTGTAAAAAATTGATTTTAATTTATGAGAATCAAATAAAAGTGTGACACTCAATAGGCCATAATGGAGAAAAATATTCATGTAAGTGACCCACTTAGTGGAATAAAGGCTTGTTGTTGTTAAGTACTTCTATTGAAGTGTGGCCGCTACCCACTGGTTGAGATTGATAAGTAGTTGAATGTGTATTGTAGTTAGACTCTCCAACATGAGGACAAGTATGTATCTGCACTGAGTATGATTTTTGTGAGAGGCAACGAAGATGAACTTCGCTCCTTTAATGACGGAGACGGAGACAAGACTTCAGAAGCTTAACATTTATTTTACTAGCTTTAGCAATCCGTATCGATTTCCAATCTTCTTGGCTCTTGTCATTCAACAATGGAACTGGAGCAAGAAATTATATTTGGGATTACAGAAAAAAAAGGAATTCAGGTGTTGTAGAAATATGCAAAAGACATTTATACTTTTTAACCCTATTTCTCGCATCAACCTTCTGTCCATTTACACAGTAGTTCTGATGGTGTGGTTATTTTGGATAAAATTCGAAGAGTAAAGCGACCAAGTTAGATACATTCAAGTGAAAATTTCAACTTTGAGTGCAAAAACATCTTGATAGAGAAGAAGGATATGTTAAGGTCCAAAATTGGATTATAACCAGCTCCACAAAAGTGTAGGATGTCATTTTAGCAAATTGAATATTATTAAAAATATTAGTTTTACTACATTTGTACCGTTAATTCATCCATCTTTGGCGGTTGCATGGAGCTCCTTGAAGGTACTGCAAATCTAATGCTTTGTTAAATATTTACATGATTTCTCATTTTTTAATACGAACATTTTTTTGGTAGTTTCCTGTTTTTGAGGCTTCTCTTCCACTAAAAGAATTTCAGCAATTAGAAAATGATGCGCCTAATTTAACATGCAGGTATATTGCTTTAATTTTTATGCAGAATTTAATGTTTAAAATAATATTTCTGTCAATTTTTATGTTTGATTAAATGAATTTTATTTAACGATTTTTCTAATCTTAGGTACTCAATCTGCAGGAATAAATCTGGATTGCATGAAGTTATACTGGGACTGGGGACAACCGGAAGGAAGCAAGGAACTTCTTCCAAAGGTTCCCTGTTTCCATCTACCGAATCTTCTGTGTGCAAGTATGTGGTTATGATTGTAATTAGATTTTTATTTGTTGTTACACTGTTTAGATTTTGTCCTCTATTGTTCTCTGTTTTTTTCCTCTATGTTGACATATATATATTTACAAATATTTTATGCATGCATATTTAACTATTGCAGGAGAAGGTTGTTGGAGGTGTTCATGTCACTGAAACATGAAATTTCATTTGCACATCTTGTGGAGGAATTTTCCTATCGTAAACTGAAAGTAAGATGTCAGCAATATTATTAATTTGATCGAATAATACAAAAATAAAGTTGTAGAATAAAGAGTTGACCAAAAAAAGAAACATTATAGAGAAAAAAACATTAAACAGTAGCTGATTAAAAGCTAAGTGCTTTGTTGAAAAATCATGCCAAACAACCTTACGGAAATTTGTTTTTTGCTCCGTTATTGATATTCTATGTCATGAGATGAAAGAAAGACTAAGATACTTTGATAACATCTTAATATAATGAGAGACATTAGTGCCTTTACATAAATTCGAAACGCCATGCTTAACAAGATTTTTTGGGTTTACATAAATTCTTCAAGTTGATTGAGTGGAGATCTCTGCCTTATCATTTCCTTTCCCCAAGAATCTTTTTCTAAATTTTGTTGGTGTTCCGATTCACAATCCAAAAGAAAGAGAAGCAAAGGAATAGAAAATATTGTTGAGCTAATCTAAACAATATTCCCACCTTTAGAGAGGACTTTGCATTTCCAAGTAGGAAGTTTTCTATAACTTTTGTTAATAATGGAGGTGCAACGATTTTTCTTTTCTTTTCTTTAAAATCTAGAAGAATACCCAAAAAATTTGAATGACAGGAAATCAAAAAAAGGATCTAAGACTTTTTACAAGCGGCTATTGTTATTCCAAATTATTGAATGCCCCTAACTTAGCCCATCAAATTTTTAAGATTGTTCCAAATTTGTCTCACCATTAGAGTTGTTGCGTGAATGTGCAAGAAGTTCACATGATAGACATTACTTGGGGTTTAAATTTATGAAACTGTTTTATATTACTTAAAATCAATTTTGATTTATGTCGGGCTAGTCTAATATGGAAGCTATACATCTATTTGAGATGTTTAATGGAGAAGTACAAATAGAGTAAGGAGGATCTACATATGTTTTTTGTTAATTTGGAAAAAGTTTATGATAAGGTTTCAAGAGAATTTCTTTGGAGAGTTCTAAAAAAGAAAGGTGTTGATATGACTTGAATAACAAGCCATTAAAGATATGTATGCTAGAGCTGTTTCTTGCGTTTGATTGTTTTTTTTTTTTTTTTTTTTTTTTTCACTTGGATTACATTAGGGATCAGCTTTAAGCCCATATCATTTTGCTTTAGTTTTGGATTTTTTACTAGACATTTTCAAGAGGTTGTACCTTGGTGTATAGTATGCTTTCTGCTAATGATATCCTTCTTGTGGATTAGGCTAGAGAATGAGTAAGAAAAATTCAAATTATGGAGGTCAATTTTTGGTTCTAAAGGGTTTCGTTTGAGTAAATCTAAAACTGAATACATTGAATGTAATTTTAGTAGTAGTAGATGTAGTAGCAGGATTGTAACAATGGTTGATCAAGTCATTAAAAAAGAGTAAACATTTTTGATATCTTAGGTTTATTGTTCATAGATGGGGATGTTATTAGTAGAATTAACATTGGATGATTGAAGTGGAGGAATACATCTAGCCTATTGAAGTGAAAATTGGGAATTAGACCATGTCTTGAGGGACCAGCATTAATTCATCCATCTTTGGTGGTTGCATGGAGCTCCTTGTGGAGGACATCACCCATGAAAATGAAAAGAAGAGGAGAGGGGGGAAAACATTCAAACTTTTTAGTAAGTTATACATTAAGGACTTGGGAATTGGCATCAACCAAGACTTACCACCCCATACATTAACTTTGGAGAGAAGAATCTACCTTTGAGCGTATTCAAAATGAACTCCTAATTGATGCCTTCATGATGTTGAACGTATTTTTTATTAGGCAGATTTACATACATACCACTTAATTCCTTTGTATTTACATATCCAACACCTAAACTTCCATTTTTACATACATGCCACTTCACCTATGCATGAAAAGATGCATTTCACTTTTTAAAAGTTAAAATAATAATATTTTTGATGTGATATGAAAGATTCCGTGGTGTAATTGAGAAAAATATTGGGTGGTATGTATGTAAATGTTTCTTTTTATTAACGGTGACATGTATTTCTATCTTTTGTAACGGCACCTTCAGAAAGATCAATTAGACCATGAAGATTTGAATAAAACTTCAGTTAAGATTTTGAAATCCTATTGATGACGTGATTAAGCCCATGTCTTGAGGGTTTTCGCAATTGATGGGAATTTATTCGCTGTAAATTTCTTTCTAAGACAATTAGTGATTGTTCCAATTGTTATAACTTTCACTTGCATTATTTGCAATTATATCCTCAATTCATTTAATTTGGATATTATTTTACTTGCAGCAAAAGGCCGTTGAATATCAATCTGTTCTGAAGGTGTTTATGGACAGCCCCCTCCTCACTTCTTGGCCTCGAAAACCTCCAGACCTTGAGGATTTTAAGCCTTGCAATATGAAGACCCACATTCAGTGCACAAGAAGTTAAAACATAGTTTTTTTATTTATTTATTACTAATTCATTAACCTCCTCCTTGTTGTTGTGGTTGGCAAAAAAGTTTGTCGAACAATTCGTGTTCCACGTGTTAAGTAGCTTGTGTTTGATTCGTTCAATAATCAAATGAGCCGAATACTCATGTTCGATACTTGTTCGACACTTTTTGGCTCAAATTAATTAAATAATAAATAAATAATATATAGACTTAAATCAAATGATGTAAAAAATTTTGTTTATTAAATTGTAAAAAAGAAAAATTAGCTGTTATATATGTAAATACATGAGAATTGGGTGGCGTGGGTCAAAATACACATCAGATTTTAAAATAATATAATTTTGGATCTAGATTTGTAAATACATAAGAATTTGTGTGGTATGTTCCAAAAATCCCATGGTGCTCCTGAGGTTAAAGATGTAAATACAAAAGAATTTGGCGGCATTTATGTAAATGCCCTCAATGTCTACTTGTGGCCTGCCCCAACTTCTCTCCATTTGGGTTTGTGATTTTTGTCCCACAACTTTAACCTCATCTTAACGAACGCATAACTAACACCAAAGTTAAAATTCATCTCTTGCATCATTATTTTCAAAATCATCGCAGGGAGATGGAAGATTAAGATCCAAATAAAATTTCTTCAAATTATCTTTCGCCGTCTCTGGTGTAATCGGTGGGTCGTACTCCCACATATGTCCGCCAAAAGTTTGGCCTGAACTGAGCACCTTGCCGCAGACCGAGCATTGTTGGGTTCAAACCTTGATCATGGCTGGTCAAGAGAACAATTTAATACCCAATTGAATTGAATTCACATTCATCACCTCTGACGAAAGCTTCATTTTTTTTATTATGGCTAGCACGATGCCAACCAAACGTCTGGTGTGGGGAAAATATATATTGCAATCCCGACATTGGTGGGCATTATTTCCAAATTTTTGGGCTCACGATGCCAACCATCATCGGTACACTTTTAAAAGTGTGAATATCAAACTTTGGTTGTTAAAGATGCAAAAACATAAAAATTGTGTGGTATGAATGTAAATTTCCAAATAAAAAAATCATAACAAATTTAACACCGACCGCATAATTAATACACCTAAAACAATAGGATTACAACCCAAGCAGAGCAACATAACATCTGGGCGGACCAAGTGAGTGAACTTTACCTTCTTGGATTGAAAAATGTAGTAGATCCACCGATGAAAACAGCGACCAGGAGAATTAAAAGGGCAATTTAAAGATTAAAGTTGAAATATTTTGACTTTTTCAATGGTATCGAAGGGGTTTTGTTCTTTGGTTCTCCATTGGAAGATATGGGATTTCCACGGACCACATCCCAGAATGATGAAGCTATTGGAGGCTCAGCTTCAGTTTCCAGCTCCAGCAACCCAATAGATTCTGCAGGAGCTTCCATCGACAACAATTCCCGGCAGCGGTCTTTCACGTCCTAGTGACAATGGCCAGATTGTTCATGAGGTTAGTTTAATGGAATAATTAGACTTTACCTTTTACATATCCAAATCTTTCATATCTAAAATATGACTATTTTAACTTTTAAACAGTGAAATACACCTTTTTGAGCATATGTAAGGTGGCATATATAGAAACATTAAACTTTAGGAGTTAGATATGTAAATACGTAAGAATAGAGCGGTTTCTATGTGGATCTTCCTAATAGAAATATACAAATTAAAAGAGAATACTGGCATAGAAACTGTGCAATTCTATAAACATGAGAGAGCATTGTGATGATATTAGAACCAAAGAACACTATGAAATAAAATGAAGTTGCATAAACAAAAGGAAAGATTGATTTAATTATTGTGACTAGGTTGTGGTGGCATTTGAGGGAATCTGCCTAGTGTAACAAAGGTCGGATGATTAGAAACAGATCAGACGATGATATCTTGCAATGCAGGCATTGCTAACGATAAGAAACGAAACAGGATTATTGTCCAAAGAGACTTTGTAATATGATGACGGACTTATTTTGTCGCTAACTATGATCAGCAGGTTATCAATAGAAAGCTAATAATAGGATGATAATGGTGGATGCCAACTGGTCATCGGCATCGAAGACCATAAATGCTAACAAAAAGGTCAGAACATTCGGTAGGATTCATCCAGTGCAAGGCAAAGAGACCGACACAAATATTTGAAACACCAAAAGAACCAACAATTTTTTTGATAAATAATATCAAGAATAGCTTCTGCCTTTGAGAATAGATCTTTGAGCATCGATGGAAATCATCCAAAGAATTCATGAATCTTGAATTCAAATTATTTTTATTTATCATATTCTGCAATGAATTAGCAAATCTATAAGCACTAAAAATGAAACATAAGCTCTTCCCTTGTGACTCTCCCTTATTCAATTTAAAAGAAAAAGTGGAGGCATTTTGCTATCTTTAGCCACCACCATATTTATCATCAGCAATAGCTTTATCTCAACTATTTGGAATTAACATTATTCATCCTTCAATCATTTTTGTTTAGTGCTTCATTAGTTAGAAGTTAGCTCACTTTATTTTGTTTTTTTTTTTTTTTGCATAATTTTTAGCTAATTTATCTTTAGTAAAATCATTTTCACTCCTAATCCTTCCTCTAATTCTCACATCTTGTTGTATTTTCTATATTTTCATTAAAGACGAAATCATTTAAAATAAATTCCCTTCTACCATATATGCAATTGATGACACTCTTAGTCACTCTCCACATTATCCTTCATATTTTAACATTCCCACGCGTCTATTTTAGCATTCCCATTCTAGCACAATAAACTTGCTATCAAAATTTTATTTATGCCAAAAACTTATAATCCATGAATCATAGCTACTCTAATATCAATTTTATAAATTTACTTGCAATTAATTTGGGGCACTACATTGTTTAATCAACCAATTTTAATTACATCCAACCAATACTTTGATAGATATAGCTTAGATTTTGTTCTTTAAGTGTAGAAAACATAGAATTAAAAATAGCGGGATTGCATCTAATTACGATAAATCATATGAAATACGTTTGCAATATATATATATATGAAGAATCAAAGTCAAAAATCAAAATCCAATAGCAAAGTATTGATTCATTCCATAAAAAAGAAAAGAAAATTAGTATTTGATTGAGTAGGTACCATTCAATCTAGAAGTTATCTCCTTGTTGACAACATTCAGTATTGTACACTACAACTCATGACATGGCCGTTGCGCATCATGCAACATTAAGATGGCGAGGAGTAGGCATATCACAAAGCACTTGATATTTGTGATTTATACAAATTATGGTGGAAGTGCATAGCATGAAAAGTGCATGATATCATGAATTGGATGGAGGATTAACTGAAATTAAATGATGAATCAAATGAAGAAAATGAATAAGTATCTGATAAGGAATAATTGGTATGAAGTATTTTTGAAAGAGTTAGTGGTGTCCATGAAAGAAATTATAAGATTTGAGGGAGAACTAATGGGAAAATACATTTAATCTAGGACTAGAACAATTTGAAGATGAGGATGGTGAAGAAGATAATATAGTTGGAGAAGATGTTGATCAAGAACATATGTTTACTTTAATTATGATAATGATGATGGAAATTTGAGGATGGGTATTTGTAGAATTTCAATGTAGGATTTATAACTTGAGTTACTAAATTACTCAAATTTGTTGTATCGAGAATTGGTTCTCTATTTTTTAACAAAACCTAAGCTTTACAGGTTAGTGGTTGTTCTAACATTGTGTATTTCTACATTTATGAAAACCTAAGCATGCAAAAAACTAAATAATATTATGTTCAAGTTATGTGATTTAAAAAAAAAAACATTTCTCATATGCTATTAAACGAGAAATAAATAATTCAAGAGTTTTATCAATTATACATTTTTAAAAACAGTGTGGAGCCCCATATTGGATCTGCTATGACTCAATGGATCTTTTTGTGCTATAGTACACTCTTCATCATTGACAAGTATGGTTGTCCTCACCAATATCTATTTTTTTATAAAAAAAATATATTTGAGGTGTTTAAACTTATAGCACAAAGTATCAAGCAATCTTCCAAGAAAATGTTCAGACAAGTATTACTTTAAAAATATATATCATGCGCTTGAAACTTATTTGTATATTTTTAAACCTATTCTCAACTATAATTTTTTTTATTCTAACCTGTAACAAACTTCAAAAGGTGTCTCGCCAATCTGCAAATAGAAGAGATCCTCGGAATACGAGAATGACTAAAATTTCTAAAATTTCATGATTCATTATAATTGACATAAAATTATTCTGAGCAAAAAAAATTTTGATCAGTTTCTAGCTTAAATGTTTTTGGTTAAAAAATAGTGCAAATTTCAGTAGAAATAAATAAACATCTATGCTCTTATTGGGCAATCGATGAATCAAGAAACAGAAAGAAAAAAATATTTTTTTTCCCAAACCTTCTTGACAAGGAAAGAAAAACAAACCTCAAAAGTTTCAGAAGACAGTAGATAGTCACATATGAAAGTGCCAGATAGCCAAGGTACCAAAACTCTTCTGGGGAAGGAGAGCACCAGGGGTTTCCTGTTTATATAACAAACATGATGGATGAGTCTTTATATAGTGGATAAAGATGTACTTCATCCATTCAAACCTCCAATAGCTACTGTCATGAAGCGGAATTATTATAAAAGTAGAGTAAAAATAATGATTTTCCAAATCTACTGAACAAGTCGTAAATCTAAATGGAATCCTAAAAATGTGAAAATAATTTCCTTGCTTCTGATTATTCAAAAAATAATAATAATAATAATAATCGATTAAAAAAAACATATGCCAGTGATGATAATATTCAATGGAAGATTTGCAAGTTTGAAGGTTAAACTATACAAGGATAAAATTAGACAACGAGGAATGGGAGTAAGGAACTTAGAGTAGACAGCTAGGAATGATCGGCAAACAAAATGTAAGAATATTTAATTGGCCACACAACATAATTGCATTCATCAATTATCCAATGCACAAATGTAGGCTAATAATTCATATTTATAGAATAGAATCCACAATAAATAATGCAACCTAATCAAATAAATCAAAATATTATTTTCACAAAATTAGTAAAAAAATATAATAGGCCTTTATCTAGTTTGCCTTCAAAATAAATTTTTTCAGTTTCTCTTGGTTGGGTTGGTCTAGGAAAATACGATTCTTTAGGGCAAACAAGTTGCTTTATACCAAAATGCTAATATTCTACAAAGATTTGCAAGTTATATTTATTTGATCAACTGTTAGGTTTATCACAGGAAAGTACTTTTCCTTCAGCTTCATCTATGATGTACTCTATCCTACATTAATAATTCCAATATAACTTTTCTAAGAATATTTATCCTTACAAGAAATAAACTTCACGACTCATGACAACTGGCTAGCTGAACCCTAGAAATTTCAACTAAACGATTTGTAAGGAGATCAACTAATCTTGAAGAATAATAAAAAACAAACATTGGGTTGTAGATGTTACCAGGAAAATCATCAATTCATTAACGAAATGAGAAAAATGCTTTTCTTGGTGATAAAAAGTAAACACTCAGAGTATGCTTCAAATCAAATAGTATTATTTATCCTACCTCAATTCATGCAAAATAAGTTGATGGATTGGCTTTCCGGAGACCATTTCATCGCTTTCTTTCCCAAGATCATTAGAAGCCATGTCCAATGTACCTTCTCCCTCCTCAAAAACGAGATCTAGTCTGCCTTTCAAGCTGTTTATGATATCATTCTGCACAGAAGAGGAAGAAAAAGATGCATTAAAGTATTAAAAATAACTGCTCGAGTGCAATTTTTATCTTATAATTTCAAGGTTCAAAGTCAAGAGATTCAGAAAATGAAAAAATTGATTGAAGGTAGTCACTTATAAAGCAGTTGATATTTAACTAAGGACAGCCATTTTAAGTATTGGGAGCCTCTAATTAATAATTTTTAACTTAAGAGTAATAATCTTTATGTTATGCGGGAGCTAAGACCTCTCAAGCTAATATTATCTAGAATATTGTAATCAACCTTTGAAGTAAGTGGTCTTAAATAAAGTTCTAAAATCCTCTTTATTTTACCATGGGAAGCAACTAAGTTTTGGTACCCTCCTAGCGAATCTTCTGAGTTTCTCCTTTAAATCAATTTAGTTATACTACATAGGCATTCCTTTGGGCACCAAAAGTCTTTAATATGCCTTTTGGAATCATGTTATTAAAAAAATTTCAATGAAATTCTCTCCTTAGAGAACTAATTTCCTCTCTAAATTTGATATTATGCTTATCAATTCAATGCATTCATAATCGCTCTCTATGCTTTCTTTTCTTTTCTCTTTTTAAATTCCTAATTAGGTTATATAAAAAAATAGTTAGAAGAAACTTTTTTTTTTGGTAAAAACAAAAGAGGAAGCAGTGGTCTTAGTTTTATCAATAAAAAGAATATTAGTCATCCTGAGATTGCAGGTGATCATAATATTAAAGGCATAATAAGAACAACTTACCTATCCTTAGAAAATGTATATGGAAATCTACTCCGCCAAATAATGAATCTTTTGTTGGTTTTGTCAATCACGTCAAACACTTTAATTTCCGATTTTCCAATGTCTCGCATTGCTTCACTCATTTCTTCTCAATATATCTCTTAAGGTTCAAGAACTAAAAGTATTTGTTTTTGGAAGGATAAATGATTAATACGCCTCTCCTGCTTCTCAATTTAATGATCACTACACCTTTGCCAGTAACTGTCAAAACTTTGTTGTTTCTTACCATTCAACTAGTTGCTACCGGGACTTATAGAAGCAAATTATTCCTTTTCGCCTTAAAAATTAATAAAAAATTTTCTCCTCTTATCAATCAATTTAATATTTATAATGCTAGCTTGTCACACCTAATTATTCATTTTTTGTTGGCCCTTGCTTGATTTTAGAAAGCTATTGCTCATCTTAGAATCAAAACTACTGCATGGTTTTTTTATGTAAGAAAATTTTCAAGAAATGCCTCTTCATACAAGGGAATCATCAACGATTCTTTTTGTGAAACACATAAAGATGAGATGATTTCTCTTTGGCAGCTAATGTGAACGCTATTTTCTCTATCTGTAGAAAGGCCTATATCAATAATTTCAAGGAGTTTTGGAACATATTCTCTTCCATCTACATCATTTAGATCAAAAGAATCGCTAGATGCTTTCAAAGGAAATACAAAAAAAATTTGCTTGGTGTAATATCATCAACTTACTTTTTAATTTCTAATGCTAAAGGGAAGAATATCAATAATTCCATAAAAAATACAACGTATTATTAACTTCTTCACTTCAGTATGTTTGCTTTCAACTTTTACCTTTGTTTTGCAGTTGACACTATCTTTTTGTCTTAATAATGAGAAGGGTTTAACTAGTTTTACATTAAAAAAAGTTCCACTATTGAAATACCATGTTTTTACTCGTACCAACATGGAATGTTTAATATCATCAACTATTAAATTAATGTTATCTACAAGCAAGAGCAGACTCATAGTAAGAGTGAAGTATTAACAACAAAGTATATTTGCAAATACCTTTAAATCAGATATGGCTTGTGAAGCAGGCTCCTTCGGATTAAGGTATGCATAAGCACATATAGCTCCTCTAAACACAAGCAGACCAGCAACATCACCTGAACTGCACGCTACGTAAAATAACTTTGAATTGGTCCTTTGCAACAGAAAAGATTTTACAATTTACAATTCACAACTAAGAAAACTGAAACTAAATTTTGCAAGTCCAGCACACCTTCCATGTTGTGCATCACCCTTGAATGGTAGAAGCAGCTCAACATTATGCAAGCCGTCAGAAGTCACTTGTTGATTCTCAGCAACCTAAATGGCACAAAGTAGATCCATTTACTCCAAGTATTCATTTCCACCTCAAACCCACTTTGTCATGGAAGAAAATAGCCACAAAAATGGTCCTCAAGTTCATACTTTACACTCGTTCATTTATATCTTAAATTACATGCAATTAAAATTTTATTTTATTTTTTCAAAAAGCAACAAATTTTAAATAAAAATTCAGTCAATATGTATGCTAATACTACACCGCACATGTCATTATCAATACATGAATGATCAATCTTTTTCATTCCCACAAGTTAGTAGGAAAACACTCTTCCATATTTTCCTTACTAACAAGGGGAACAAAGTGCAAAGATTTTTTAATACTAACCAATTTACCATCAAATAATGCTCGGGCGCTTTGCAGATCTCTAGCATGACGAGATATGCCACTACGAAGGACATTCTTGAAAGTATTTGAAGTGGACACCACATCAACAGGTATCCTGCACCATAGAATCATCAAGGGCATTTACAAATATAGCACAGAATTTGTATGTATTTACAAATCCCTAAGCTTTCATATTTACACACACAACACTCAAATCTTTAATATCACACAAAAAAATAGCACTATTACCACTTTAAAAGTGAAATACACTTTTTCATGCATAGGTTTAAAACACCAAAGTGCTACATATGTAAATATGAAAGTTTAGGTGTGAGATATGCAAATACAAAAGAACTGTGTTCTAGGTATGTAAAATTCCCAATCGTTAAAAGAATCGATAGAGGACTCAATGCATTTCAAGCTACCAAGGTCTAGTAAAAGCTTATTTCTCCTTCAACTGCTAAATGATGGAAAACAAAAAACAAAAAAAAACGTCGCTTTGACAAATGATTGACAGCAACTGCTCGAAAATGTCAAAAAAAAAAAAAAGGAAATATAAGAGCAAAAAGGTAATTCCAACTTGAACGCCAATAAGATATAACAACTTTTACACTTTATCTAGTTAAACCCAGTTCTTTGGCAAGATAAGCCTTATTGAATACCAGTACCAATTGATACCTAATTTCGTAAGAAATAAGAAGTGTACTTATTGCAGCATATTTGCAACATAACAAATTTCTGAAAATAATTTCAAGATATCCACTCTGTTTATACAAATCATTGATAATTGGAACCGGTTAAGTTCCAAGTTTCACTAGTTATATAATATATGACTTACTTTGACACGTTGATTTAAAAAATACAAATAAATAAAAGGCCTGCTATATATGATACAAGCATGGCGTTACAAATTGATCAAATATTATGTTGTAAATTGGACTCCATTTGACAATGTTGTCTCATGCTTTTTGTCATATTGGGTTGTACTGTTGAATAAAGAGGATGATTATTTGATAATAATTACTATTAATATTGTTGGTTAGGTTATTGCAAGTTCTTCCCACTAAGTACTTAATCCATAATTAATAACTAATTATAAATACTATTTAATTTTAAATGAAAACATAGTGGATTAAGTACTTAGTGGGAAGAACTTGCAATAATTAATAGTACATTGGCAAAAGAACTTATCCCCAAATAGCCTGATAATTAATCAACCTAGATAATTTGCCACTTTTGATATCCTAAAGATTAATTAATAAATAATGAATATTTAATTCGTTAATTAATTTTATCTCATGGATAATTAAACTACCTTATTGTCATAATAATTAATGAATAATTAAGTTCTAATTAACATAATTAAACTATCAATAAATAATTTAATAAATAATCAGAATAATCCATACCCTAATCATTAACTAATGACTACAACAACAACAACAAAGCCTTAATCCCACTATGTGGGGAATCATTAACTAATGACTAAATCCCTAGCCATTTTAATTGATTATATAATTATAGATCCAATTTATAACAAAAAAACATGAATAACATTGAAAATATGAATTGTTGTCTTAGTAGCACAAGCAAAAAGTAAAATATATTACTAATGAGAAACTTAATTACAAGTTAAGCCTTAAAAATTAAGGCCATTTTAAGAAATTATAATGCAGTTCTTTCAAAACAGCCCACTTATAGTTCAAGTTGATCTTTCAAGTCTATGTGGATGATTTAGTTTAGTGAAGATAGTTACATTTATATGGTGTCCTCTTTTAGACTTAATGAATGCCTGTTTAAGGTGTCTTAGCTTACATAAATGAAGAGAATTTTGTTTTCTCTAGCCATAACAGAAAATTGTCTGAAAACGGTCGAAGGAATAAAAGCTGTAGAAACTATACCTTATGTCAAAACCGTACATGCACCTATATGTTTGAAGCGTTGGTAAAAGCTTGCTCATTTTGAAATCACATGGCCGCAAATCTACTGATGTAATTGCACAATTTCGACAGGCCCACCTACATTTATGTTCAAAGCAACGAGTAAATTTTATATGAAATTATTGGCCAATTATAATTGATTTAAAAACTCATTTTATCACTATAAAGCTGCATATAAAAGCATCTTTCAACTTAAGTCAAGCTAGTTATAAATTCTATATCAATGATAAGATAAATAAAAAAAGACTTCCTTTAAAAACTGGAAAGGCTGCATACGAAAGCATCTTTCGAATCAAGTCTAACAAGTTATGGATTATATAGCAATTAAGTATCAATAAAAAATTAGGTCACATTAAAATGGATGCAAAAAAATTGAGCAAAATTTGAAAGCAAATTTGGATGTCAGCAGGCCTTTATTAAGGCCATTCTTCTCATGATAAATAACCAACATGAATAAGTTCTCCAACCTTTTTGGGCTATGAGATATGTGAATTAAAAGCCTTTCATTTGTTTCACTTTCAAAACTTGGCGTGGCTTGAGCAACCACCCTGACTGCCTGCAAAATAATAATAAAAATTTTCATACAAAAGAACAAGCAGAAAAAGATTGTCTTTTTAGGAAAAACTCACAATAAGTAGAGCCAATTATTGCATTTATAAATGGCTTTTCTTTAGCAAAATGAAAAAAATAAATCATCAACAACAATGAAATAGAACAAGCAGAAAAAGTTGACAAAATAGGATACTCCAGTAAATAAAATAGCCGCCAGCACTAAGTTGCTTACTTGCATAACATCTAACAACTATGCTTTTCTATTATGTTTCTTATAGAAGAGCAAAACAAATTCAAGAAATAAATTGGAACTCTGCATATCAACTTATTCATAGTCTGTGCAGATGATGAGTTCAAAATGCTCCTGTTGCCGATGATGAGTTCAAAATCGTCAAAAGGAAAAGCAGGTAAGGACTCATTTGGTGGTCTGTCAATGGAAAATACGAGTAAAAATATTATTGTTTAACTATATCCCAACTAATTCATAGATTTAACACATTCCACTGAAAGTCTATGATTTCGAGTTCCAAGCAATCAAACGAGCCCTAAGCCATAAGAACTTTTCCTGTAAGTTGAAATTAAGGATTTATCTTCAGTACCTGAGAGAGTGCTGAAGCCGATGTCGCCTTAAACGAGGCCTCCGACGACCAAACATAGATCCCAATAACACTCATACCACCCAAAAGCATTCTCGAAACCTGAAACATACCCGTATTCAAGGACCATGAGAAGAAATCGTCATTGCAGCAAGAACAAATCCTGTTGAATTCAAAATTTCAGGGTGCGTAAATTGAATCCTTATAGCAATTTCTCTTAGTTTGGTACCTGTCGAGCGTGTTCAGCCACCCACTCCCCGTCGATCAAAAGTGAAGGAATTGCCTCCGCAGAAGCTTTCCCGCCTTTTGAACCCTTCTTCCTGCCGTCCCAGCCTCCGGTGTCGAATTTAAGCGAGCACGCGGGGCCGCCACCATCAGTGGGCGGAGTAGGAATCAAATCATACACAAACCCTCGCTCCAGGTGGAGGCTTAGCTTCCCTATTATGATACCAACCTGCGCATCAAAAACCAATCATAAGCACGAAGGCAATGCTGTAGAAAGTAGGGAAGTTTTTAACGGCGAGGAGTGAGCACTTCGGCTGTAATTGAGGATCGAGATAGCCGATCCTCGGCAGATTTCAGCCGGGTTTCTTCACCGGCGACGGACTTCACCATTGGAGCTCGAAAAGATCGGCGACTGCCGAACCTCCGCCGTTTAGAGTCAGGTAGGTCAAGCCCTAGTTGGATGCGGAAGAGCTGGGATCCCTAAATTTTAATTAATTTATGATATACTGTACATTTTACTTTATATATCTGAAAATAGTGAAATTTGAAGAAATATTTCTATTGTTTATTTTCTTTAGGAAGATATACCTAAAAATAAACTCACATCATCACATTTTTCATAAAATAATTTCACCCTCTAAAATAAATTCTTTTAAATTTTAAATAATATTTTTATTGTGATATTAAATGTATTGTATTAAAGATATCTTGTTACATTTTTTTATAATTTAAGAAGAATAAATCAAATAAATTATAAGTACCAAGTAGGTGAACAATTGACAAATTGAAATAACAACTTTTGATGATGTGCAAAAAAATAATATAATTTATAATTTATTACATTTATCATAAAAATTACTTGTACTGTCATATTATTGACATTGAATATCATGAATATTAAGATTTATATCATAGATTCATAGAATGTTTCTTTAGTTGTTATGATGGAGCCCGGTTCGCCCAACCCGACTCCCGCTCCCGCTCCTCTGTCGCGAATCTTTGAGACCACTCCCGCCTCCGTTCGTGTCTCCCGCCTTTCCATACCCGGAAGCATCGCTTCGCCTCCTTTTCATGATAAAAGGAGTGGCTCTCCTTCAGTTTATGATACAACCCCCTTTGTGTTCTTCTTCAGAAGTTTTGCTTCCACGGGACAGAATGAAAAGTGCAATGAGTAGTTCCTTGCGGTAGAGGAAGAAAAAGGAAAAAGAAAAAATTGTTCTCCCTTGGCTTCTTCTTAGTGGCTTGTGGTAGAAGAGAAATTGAGTTCATTTCTCTTATAAGATTATCTTATTTGGTGTATCTTGTGTAGAGAGATAAGAAGAGATAGCAAGAAAGTGAAAAATCCCTCTTATTAGTCGAGACGATCAACTGGTATATATTCCTCAAGTAGTAAAATCCTCTGCAGTTCTGTGAACGTAGGTAATTTGTTGAACCACATTAATCTGTGTGTTCCGTCGTGTTACTATTTTCTGGTGTGAATTTTCTCGTTCAATTTTTTCGCTTTGTCGTCGATCGTTCTATTTTATTTCTATATATATACCACAACAACTAGTATCAGAGACCGTGGTTTTGGATCTGATGAAGAATAATGGATGCAGGTGAAGTGAAGATTTCAGGGCAAGAAATTTGATGACAATGATTTTGGTTACTGGATAATGTAGATAGAGGACTACCTCTATGGGAAGAAACTTCATCTTCCGTTATTTGGGAAAAGATCGGAATGGATGGATGAGGTTGAATGAAATTTGTTGGATCGACAAGTTTTGGGGGTAATTCGATTGACCCTATCGAGATCTGTTACACATAACGTCGTCAAAAAAAGGAAGACTGTAGATCTCATGGCAGTTTTATTAGGTATATATGAAAAACCATCGATGAATAACAAGGTAAATCTGATGAAGAAGTTATTCAATTTGAATATGGCGGAAGGTGTTTTTGTTGTTTAACACTTGAAGTCATGGGGATAGCGATTAGCAGTTCTACAGGTAAATCTAAATTGAAATATAATGATATTTGTGATTTGATTTTGGCTGAGGAGATGCGTAGGAAAGATTATGACGAGATTTCAGGTTCGAGTTTGACACTGAATGTTGCTTTCAGAGGGAGATCACATAACATGAACTCAAATAGAGGGAGATCAAAATCAAAGTTTGGTCAGCAGACAACCTGTTGTAATTGTGGCAATGATGCCCACATAAAGAGCAACTGCAGAAATCCTAAGAAGATAGAGAATAATAACGCAAATGTGATATCTGAAGAAATACATGATGCACTACTGTTGACAGTTCATAGTTCTGTTAATAACTAAATGTTGGATTCAGGAGTCTTTTTTCATACAATATTTCATCGGGAATTGATATGAAATTATGTTGCAGGTGACTTTGGGAAATTATATCTGACAGATGGAAAAAATTTGAATTTGGTAGGAATTGATCTACCATAAGCCACAGTTTAAGACAGTGATGGAAATGAAGAAGAAAGTGGGTCCGGGGCACTCATTCTTATTATTCCACAGACAGATAGTAGAGAACCACAGAGCTATGAAAAAAATCTTGCAAGTTGAAAATTTGGGCAAGTGGGAGCTGACAGAACTTCTACCATAGAAGAAGGCATTACACAACAAGTGAGTGTACCGGGTAAATACTGAGCGTGAAGATAGTAAGAGGTACAAGGCTAGACTTGTTGAAAAAGGTTTTCAACAAAGACAGGATATTGCCCATGTAGTAGGAGTTATAAGCAGATACAAGAGTAACCCTAGAAATAGCTTAGAGGTGCAAGGCTATGTGGACCTTGTTGATATGTTGACTAAGTGTGTTATTCTTGAAAAACTGAAAAATTGTGCACAACTTCAGTTGGTCTCCTGGTGTGAAGACAAGGGCTTTGAGTTGCAGCTGTAGAGAATTCATGTTTGAAGAAAAGTGCGACATTGCAAGTGGAAGATACCAATTTGAGGAAGAAGACGTTGCAGTCTGTGTAGCGGTCTCAAAGTGGGAGATTTGTTATGATGGAGTCTGGTCCGCTCCTTTGTCGCAAATCATCGCGACATTTCCTGCGACCCTACTATTTCGGGAACCGCTCCCGCATCCGCTTGCGTCTCCCGCCTCTGTTCGTGTCTCCCGCCTTTCCTTAGCCTGGAAGCATCGCTTCACCTCCTTTTCATGATAAAAGGAGCGTCTCTCCTTCAGTTTACGATAAGACCCCTTTTGTGTTCCTCTTCGACAGTTTTGCTTCCACAAGACAGAGGAAGAGAAATTCAATGAGTAGTTCCTTGCGGTAGAGGAAGAAGAAGGAAGAGAAGAAGATTGTTCTCCATTGGCTTCTTTTTAGTGGCTTGTGGCAGAAGAGAAATTGAGTTTATTTCTCTTGTAAGTTTATCTTCTTCGGTGTATCTCAGTGAAGAGAAAGAAGAAGAGAGAAAACAAGAAAGTGAGAGATCTTTCTTGTAAGTCAAGACGATCATCTGATGTATATTCCTCAAGTAGTAAAATCCTCTGCAACTCCGTGGACGTAGGCAATTTGCCGAATCACTTAAATTTCTGTGTTCCACTGTGATACTGTTTTTTGGTGTGAATTTTATCGTTCAATGTTTTCACTCCGTCGTCGATCGTTCTATTTTATTTATATGATATACCACAGCATTAATAACTTCATATGCATTAATAAATCTTAATGTAATTGTCATTTATTCTCATTTTGATTCATCACGTGCTTCAACAATTATAATATAATATTTTTGTTTCTTCTCATATAGAAATTTAAATTTTACTTAAGAATAGATATAATTTTTTTTAAAATATATAAGAGATGCATATAAAATATTTTGAAAAATATTCTGTAACACTATTAAATTTAATGAGATAATTATATTTTTTGTGATAATTTTGATATGGTTAAGGATTTGAAATGTTCATCATATGTTGTATGATTGAGAGAACACCTCTTAGTCGTATGATCAGAATTATTCGTATTCCTTCATTAATTGTTACCAAAACTCTATAAATAGAGTCTTAACCCTCTCTTAAAAGGGGGAGAAAAAAACTTGAAGCCTGAAGAGCTAAAGTTCAGCATCACTCCTACTGTCATCGATCATTGCTAACCGCCGTCGACCACCACTCTTTGGCCGCCGTCGAACACCATCGACTCCATTCATTGCGACAAGTTTATTGCGCACCAATGTTGTAACTCAAAAGATTATGCAATCCTTTCCCGCAGTGAGAAAATAAATTGTAACTGTAATCACAAATTTACAGCTGATCTCTTTAGTTTTTCAAACCTCGTGATTATTTTTTTCTTTTAGGGTTTTTCACATAAAAATTTCTAATGTATCTATTTATTTTTTTCTTCTATCTAAGAATATTTTGAGTCTCTGTGCAACATTAAGATCATAATCTATTACTCTGTCGTCATAAATTTAAACAAACATTATAGATAAATATAAAACAAGAGTTAAAGGAGACAATTAGAAATGGTTCAAAGGACATTGATAATAGTTAAAGTCCATTCGTCTAACTATTCACACTTGTCCTTTGCATTTGACAGCTACCATGATGTGAAGTCATATTCCCTTTTTTTTTGTTTGCATTTGTATAAAATGACTTTACATTTCCAGGCGATAAAATGTCCCTATCACCCCACCGGACACCAGCCGTCAATTCTACTAAATTTTGGGTTTTTACATACACACCATACCATTCTAATGTATTTATATATCTAACCCTACATTTTTCATATTTAAATGCATAACACTAAATCTTTACCATCATATAAAAATCATTATTGCTAATTTTTAGAACATAAAATATACATTATAATGTGGCAACAAAGTGTTATAAATGTAAATATCAAAGTTTAGTGGAGTCAAATGTATTAAAATATATTTGCATTGAGACAATCGGTTCAGCAATCGACTGTCTTGATTCTTGTTATGTTTTAAATTAATTAATTATTGCCTTTTCCCGTTGATGAAAAGACTGTAATGTGACTGTCAAGTGGTGCTCATACAACCACCATCCTTATTGTTTGGATGAAAATACCATGTTCTAAATGTCGAGCGATGCTTTTAATGATGAATTCATAATGACATTCTTCGATAGTTGTCATTCGCAGAAGTGAGTTAAACTGTTCTTTCAAGAGCAATGTATACAACTATTTCAACACGTGATTCGATTCAGCTACTTCAGCAGATACACGTGATCTAGGATAATAAGTAAACAAAAAATTGTATGAGTGTATTTGTGTATACTCTACTATATATTAATATAAGTAATAATATTTATATATTATTATTATTTGACTTGGGACCTTTGATATTAATAATATCCTATTTATATTTAAAAAAAAATGTATTTTGTTTTGGTGTAAAAAGATAAGATGACATATGTAGAGGATGAGTTAATAGCTATTAATTTAATAGGCTTAAGAAATATCATTTTTACCCACAAATTTAATACAACACTAATTTAAATGTCTGTTTAATTAGAAAATTAAATAAATATATTTTTTTTCTTAAACAACAATACATTATTTTGTTTATCTTTTTTTTTTATTTGTTCGTGAAAATTCTCGTGATATTTTATAATTAATGATATTGAAAATTTTCTTTGCATTTTCAGTCAATTAAAATAATGAAAAATTTACATATATACCACATAATTCTTATGTAATTGCATGTCTAACAACCAAAGTTTGATATTTATACTTATAACACCTATATTTGAGTGGTTTGGATGTAAATATGATCGTTGAAAGGTGTTAGATAGGTAAATATATAATAATTGTATGGCATTTATGTAAATGACTCTAGAATAACATGATTAATGAATTAAAAATTATCATTTTAAATTAAATATTATAATTTATAAAATTTTGAAAGATTTACACAGATATCGCTCAATTTTTGGAAAAATTATTGCACAAGGACAACTGATGCAAATTTGCATCCGATGTCCAATAATAAGGTGCCACATGGCCACCCGGGCCCGAACCGTGTATTTCAGAAAGCCCAAATTATCATGTGGTCCCCTATTATTGGACACCAGATGTCATTTTGCATCAAATGTCCTGATGCAATAATTTCTCTAATTTCTGTGTATTTTAGCATCTAACATCTTAACTTTGCTTTTTATATTGATACACCAAAATCATTCATATGATCATATCACATTAAAAACACAACAATTTTTACTTTTAAAAAATGAAATACATCTTTTCATTGATAGATAAAGACTTATAGTAACATAAATGTAAAAAACTATTAACTATGCAAATACATACTGTTGAATCTTGAATTATTCTTTGCGAACACTCCCTAGTGTTAGAAACAAACGGAGGACGAGGAGAGAGTAGGATAAGCCTAGAAGGCATTGTCAACAGAGAACAGAGAGATTTCCCTTCATTTGTGTTTTTGTCTCATATTTATAAAGACGTGTTTTGTATAATTGCAGAAATGAGAGAACAATCATCAAAACTGTTTTTAATTCATTTGATGTTCGAATCAATCATATAGATTTTATTATATATCAGTATTACAAATTGAATTCGAATATAATGTTAATTTTCTGGTTGATTCTCCTGAATTTGGCAGACTGAGGCGACCAGTTGAGTGACGACAGTGTCTTGTGACGTTCGATAGAGGTGTCCGGTTGAGTAGCGATCTCATCTACCGCAGTAAAGTGGGTATGATTGGTTGTGACCGAAGCTTTCCACAGGCACTCTGGTTTGTCAGGACTGCAAACGTGGTATGTCGTTCCGATCTTTCGTCATAGTTGTGTCGGTCGATTCTTGATTACGCGGTTGGTTATAGGGCGATAGGATGCCTCGATTTTCTGACCGTCGTCTTGACCGTTCTATTGCTTTGAGATCCGTGATACAAATTTGATGTATACACATATGAATTGTGTGTTATATATGTAAATCTTATGAAAGTTTATCATAATTATAAAAAAAAAAATGTGTTCAATCTTAGAGAAATTTTATTAGCTGGAAGTATGTCTTGACCTATAGAATTGCATACAAAAAATATGTTTGCACTAATCTCGCAAGCAATCCAACGGTCAAGTGAAGAGACGACAAGCAGAGGGACGGACGATCGATGGGAGGACTGATGGATTGATCGCTTATAAGGGTCATTTGATCGGTTGACAATCCCAAGTTAAGATGATTATCCTAAAACGAGCCTAAGGATCAAATCACCTCAAGATATGACGGCCGATTCATGGCAGAACGGAAGACCCACGACATTATTACCGATCAGACGCTGACGTGGCAATCTAAAGACCAACGATCGAATCACAGAGAGCCCAGACCTCAAGACGACCAGATAAGCCAACTTGTCTTATTTTATATGATATCTATAATTTACAAAAAAACAATCCCTTAGAAATCAATGATTAGAGGGCATACATGTAATTCCAACAACCATAGGCCTAAGTTCATAAATAAGGGTCATTTTAAAATAAAAAGATTACACATTTCTACTTGTTCACTATTGTTTCTTACTTCTTGACTCTATTATAAGCTCAATTCATTTGATGTGCTTCCCGAACATTTGACTTATAGTGATTTGAACGAACATTTTATATATATATATATATATATATATATATATACATATTGAATTTCTAATTTTTACTAATTCAATAAAAAAATATTCAATAAAAAATTTATGGATACATTTTTTCTTCTAAAATTTATAAGATTTTCTTTAAGATTATGCTAATATCAAAATAAATTTAATAATATTTAGTTTTATCAAGCATATCTTATTTCATAGATGGTTGGAGTTTTAAATTATATTTAAATATATAAATATAAAATAATTTTTTATAGAAAAAAATAATATTAGAAAGATTTATTTTTTTATTTAATACATGAACTTCGATTTTTACATATGTCTCCTTGCTTATTTATTTCGCTTTTTAAAAATTAAAATTATAATATTTTTAACAAACATAAAAGATATGTGATATAAATGTAAGGAAATAACATTTAGATGGTTGATATGGCAATAGATAGATATAGGTGGTCTGTACATAAAATTGATCTCGCACGCGGCACGCCGCACGCCGCAATCCGAAGCGTGTGACGCCACCTACAAAAGGACCCGACTCGTACCCAATTATATAATCCTCTCAACCCCTTAGATATTTTTTCCGATTTTCGCCGGCTTTCTCCTCTCCGCTACCGGCCAGCGCCGTTAATCGCCTGGATCTGGCCGGAAGATAACCGACGAGCAGTTACTGAAGAAACGGTGATTGTTCTATCCGCTCCAATCTTCTGGTTTTCGTTTTTCCGCTTTCCGGATCGCTCCACGTGGTGATTGAATCTGCGTTAAAGGTGGTTATAATCGATAAGATGAGGGTTTAGAAATTAGTGATTCTGGTATCGAGCTCTTGGATTAGGTTTTTGTAGATTTCTAGCTCGCGGCCTATTTTTTTCTCCCGATCCAGATAGATATTGCTCTCATTTTCTCTCATTTGATTCTGATTTTCTACCTGTTTTAATGCCTGGTAGGTTCGATACGGAGCTGTGATCATTGTTGCAAGTACATGGCAGTGGAAGAAGCGATCGCGGGCTCTTTTCCTGATATCTTATTCGAATCCTCACCGGAGGAGGATTCATCGTTAAAGAAAATCGCCGGCAGCGGTTCTCCAACCCCTCCGTCGGCTAATGCTAGCTTTGATTGCAACATCTGCCTCGACTTTGTTTCCGATCCAGTGGTTACTCTCTGCGGCCATCTTTACTGTTGGCCCTGCATCTACCGCTGGCTTCAATCTACCTCCAGCAACAACCCTCGCCGTTGCCCTGTCTGCAAATCCCCCATCTCTGACTCTTCTTTCGTCCCTCTCTACGGCCGCGGGCTCGCCGGGCCCCCCCCCAAAAGCCATGGCCGGAGCTCCGGCATTCCAGGCCGGCCAAAAGACACTCGGAAACTGGTTGCTATCGCAGCTGTCGACCAACAGCCGTATCACACGGGAATCCTGCACTCCACGGCCGGCGTGGTGCTCGGCGAGATTGCATTCGCCATGCTTCCATGGGCCTTCCCCAATCCGCCGAGCTCGCACTTTTCGACGGCCATGAGCGAGGTGTTTGGGGAGAATCCGAGGAGTAGAAGATTGGAGATGAGGGCTGATATCTGGCTACATCAGCTGTGGGTTTTTCTCTTCTGTTGTGCGCTTTTCTGCCTCATCTTCTTCTAGAAAACGGAGAAATTATGTGAGTATGAGCCTTCTTAGCTGCAATAATGTAAATAAAGGGGCCTTATGATAGTCTTTTGCTTGATAGTTTCTTGGTTTTATGTGTTGTTACAGCTAGCAGAATCTAAGTTAGACATGTTGCTAGCTATAATAAACTTTCATCAAAGATATATTTTGGTTTGCTTGCTGCAATTTAGATGTATCACAGACTAGATTTCTTAAATTCATGTTGCAGCTAACATAATATCTGTAATCAAATTTCTGAATTTATGGAGCTTTGGGATTGTAGAACAAATAGGATAGATACTTGATGAGCATAATAAGAGTATTAACCATCAACATATTTTCTCTTTATTACCATTACAATGATAAGGTTTTGTCTTAGAATAAATTTATTAGTTTTTTGTTAATAGTTTCTAAGTTGTTTTCAATTGGTCCTTGTACTGAAGGTTGTAGTATTTTGATGCATCAAAGTTTGCTGTTTGTGGATTTGATAAAGTTATGAAGCTGTTGTTTTGAATGATGAGGAGGAAATAGATTGCTTCCATGGAGTTGGTCAAGGGAAACCTAGGAATGTTTATTTGGAGAATTATAAAGTGGGAAAATATTAGTTTAATTGCCTTCTTTTTATAGGTATGATTTAAATATAGTTTTTTTTACCGGGTTTGGGATTCTACATTTTATTTCAAATCAATGTGCCACGAGCATGGGTTAGTATAGTTTTGGATCTTTTAAGTTTTCGGCAAATCAAAATTCAAAAAAGTTGATGTGATTTATGTTGTGAAATAAAAAATGATGCCTTTAGAAAGTTACTATATGAATATTTTGGGCTGTCTAAAAGGCTTGTTGTTCTCGAATAATTCGTATTCTGCTTGTTAAGAAGCTCGTGTTCGATTCATTTGCTAAGCAGACGAGCCAAACACAAACTTTTTTTTTGTGCTCTATTGAATCCTAAGTTTTCTTTTGTGAATGCTTCTCGAGAGTTAGAGAGCCGGGAGGAGGAATAGAGAGGGAGAGAGATTAATTAGGACAATTTCTATAGTGAAACTGGGGAAAAGTTCTTTTATTTGTCTTTTTGCCTTCAAATTATATAGGTGTATTCTTACAATTACAGAAAGAAGAAACACTTATGTAAATCGCCGTTAATGTGATTAATTGTGCTTATTTTATATCAAATATGTATTAAAATTTGAATTTGAACGTGATAGTAACTGACTGGAGGACACGTTTTGATTCGATCGATTGATGGGATGTGCATGTCGTATTGAAGAATCGGTCGACCGATTAGCTACGGTCGAGCGTGTTCTGCCAATTCGTTCTCTCATTATAGTATGCCGATTGACTTCGATGAAGTGATTGTTAAGAGGTTCAGATTGTGCTCTTTTGGTCTGACGCCTCGATCAACTGGCCACTGTCCCGGGCCGTTGGATTGCTTTGATATTCGCGCCAGCAGTTTATATGTATATACGCTTGATATATAAACGAGACGAACACGAAAAAAGATTTTATATATATATATATAGTTTTAAAAAATTATTATTCCAAAATTTCATCATCGAGCACGAATCTCGAGGCATGACTCAAATCTCAATGCAATCTTTTGAGCTAGAAAAATTCAAACTTCAATTAAGAGCCATACAGAACTCCAATTTTAGCAAACTTAATTTCATTAACTTAATATCAATAGATTAATAAATCACTAATTTCATTATATTATTTATATTTTAAGATGTTGAATTTTATGTGCTTGATTCATAATCAATTTATATTCAATGTCGTAGTTTTATTAGTTATTTGAATAAGTTATCGTGAGACTGTTATAAAAGAATCAACTATTCAAGCTGTGGTAGTTATTATAAATTTATTTTATTTAATAAAAATCAGATCTTAATTGTCTAATTGTCAAATGTAATTGTTCACCGTAATTTTTTGAAAAAAAAAATGATAAAATATAGTTTTATCAAATCTTTAAAATATAGTTTTATCAAACAATTTTAAAGGGTTGCTATCAAAATTAATGTTGAAAACTATGAAATTATTAGCCTCAAAATATACATTGCATCAACAAGTAATCTCTAAAGGTTTCTTAGCGTAGAAGGCTTCTAATTTGCCACATCAAGAGTCCTGCAACAATTTATTTAGAGGGTTATTTTGTACACATTCCAAATAATTGTATTTGGTTTAGATATTTATTGCTGCAATTAAGATTTATTTGGATGTTTTTGTTTGTATCCATTCAATATAATTGTACTTGATTTATACATATTTAATAATGTAATAATTTATTTAGAATAATTGCGTTTGATTTATAGATAGTTATGTTAGTTTTAGTTTTTTCTTAATACAGATGACGGCAAAAACTCTATCCCAATAAGCTATTTTTCTAAGAGAATTTTAGAATATATATTGAATTCTTATTTTTCTCATTTTTCTTCTCTTTTATGCATAAAAGAGAAAAGTAATATAATAATAAACACGATACATTTCGTATTATATTATGCCCTTTCTCGGTTGTCTTGATGAAAAGTCTGCGATCTGGGTGTCAGGCGATTCCGATACGATGCCCATTCCTTGTGTCTGAGTGAAAAGATCGAGTCCCAAATGTTGGGCAACGTCTTTAATAATAGATTGGCAGATGTTTTTCTTACGAGTCAAGATGACATGCTCTTATAGCTACCCTCACACAGGCAGACCAGACAATCTTTTTGAGGGGATTGAATACAATATTATCGGTTGGTGGGGTCAATTCAACCATTTCTATAAGTGTGCTTGATTCAACCACTTTAATAGATGGGTTCGATTCAGTCACATCGATAGGTGGGCTCGATTCAGCCACTTTGACAGGTGAGTTTATATCTATCATTTTAACAGGTGGGCCCGATTCAATAAATAAATAAATATTTTAAAAAGACTTATGTTATCTTATTTATGTATACAATGTATACGCCTTAAAAATATATCAATGTTGTGTATAATATATTACATAAAATTTCATGTAATTCCATAAATGTTATGATGTATTATAATGAATGATTGAACCTCCAAATAGTGTTATTGCTTTCAATGGACAACCTCTGATAATTAGCCTAAGCGAATATGAAGCTTAAGAAAGAGACATTTTACCTCCCCTAAAAATTCTTGTCGTTGCTAATGCCAACAGAAACATTTAGGGTCCGTTTGGGGCAGTTTGTGCGTGCTTATCCTGAAACGCGACCCGCGGGCCGGCCACGGGGGTCGACCTGCAGTCTGCGTTTATTGTAAAAACCCAAACGCATTTTCGGATAAGTTGGCGAAACGCGCGAGCCAAACAGAACGGCGACGTTTTGAAAACGCCGCCCGCACTTATAAGCTGCCCCAAACGGACCCTTAGAATCTTCTTTCAATGCTTATGTACAGTGTCCGAACCCAATATGGGCGTGATGCGATCCCGTCTAAACAACATATGTAGTATTTCACTTTTCCATTCCAATAATTTACGGAAGATTTACATACATATCACTAAAGTTATGTATTTATATATTTAGCCTTTAAGCATCAATTTTTATATATTTTTCACTTTTTTTATACATAAAAGTTACATTTCACTTTTTAAAAATGAAAATAGTGATTTTTTTTTAAAGTATTATAAAAGATTTGGATGATATAAATGTAAAAAATAAAGATTAGATGTTAGATATGTAAATACATGGGAATTTGGGGGGATGCAAGTGAATGCCCTTCAATTTATTTACTTCTAATAATCTTGCCTCAATTAAGGAAGCCCAAACAATTTATTTTTTTATTTTTGCATATTTGATTGATACATCTATTTACATTTGTGACAAAATTATATTTTTGGGGTTGACACATTTATTAGATTTTGGCCAAAATAATTAACATGTAAATGCACAGGAATTGGGGGGTTAAAATGTTAAATTTGAATGATTCATTCTAGTAGAAAAAATAATTGATTTATGTAATGAATTGATTAAATTAGAATACAATGCAAGGGATAATTAAATTTTTTAGGTGAAAAATCACGAGGGCTAGCCTGGGCTTGCCTGGTTAAAGTAATCCATCTGCAAACTGAAATTATAGGGGTTCACGCTTCTCTTGAGTTGGGGATGATGAGATTATAAAAATCGGTGATGTGTGCTAGAAAATTCGCGGCGGTAGAGTAATGGATTATCGTCTTAGAGTTGCGCGATGATTCAACACACACTCAGATGAAAATGAATCAAGCTGTGATAGCACCAGAAGTTTTTGTGTGGAAAACCCGTAAAGGGGAAAAACCACGGGGCCTGACCTAGTTGTAAAAATCTAATATAAGTTGATGATTACAGATGCCCCTTATCCCACGGGTGGGAAAGGGTTACTAGCTTTCTAAATTACAACGTCGACTGACGTGTCGAGTCAACGGTAGTTAAAGGAGGTCGGCGGAGATCGACGGTAGTTGACGACAATCGATGACGGTCAACGGTGGTTGTTGACGGTCAGTGGTGGTCGACGGCGATCGACGATGGCGATGATGATCTTGGACTTGAGCTCTTTTTCAATGCCTCAAGTTCTCTCTTAAGCCTCCTCCCTCCTCTCTCCAACCTTTCCCTCATGGGGGGGGTGAGACTCTATTTATAGTGTTTTGAGTGAAATTAATGCAGAAATATGAACCATTTTGATCGGATGATCCGGAAAGCTTTCCTTGATCAAATGACGTTTGATAGACATTTGAGTGTTGTAATGATGTCAAAATTGAGCAATCTTGGGCTCGTTGGATTTGTCTTGTCGAGACGCTCGATTCAACTATGAACTCGTTAGATTCGACATTCGTTTGTCCTTTCAAATGCCTTTGAAAATTTTTAAGAATGGTTTAATGATTTGATCCGGGCTTGATGTGAGTTGGATTAGACTAATTTTTATATCATTGGGTCCGTTTCATCGAGCTGGTCAGTTTGACCATAAGTTTGCTGAAATCAGAGCTCTGGATGACTTTATCAATATTTGATTATTTCTTGATCAAAATATTGCCTCGAGATTCGTGTCGGATGATAAAAATTTGTTGGTAGCATATCAATCAGCAATCATCACTATATAATGTTTATTTGACTGCAACAACTGAAATTAGGCTCGCTCTAATAATTATAGTTGGTGACCGCAACAGTCTTAATTAGTTATAATAATTGCTAGCGGTGGTCCTTGATTATAATTCACCTGCACATCTCGTTACGAGTTACTCTCTAGTTGTTAGCCTAATCTTCTCTTCTCTTTTACTTTTTATACGAAGAATGCGAGTCAATTTATAATTTCTAAGACACTGAATTGGGCAACCCATACCGATTCTTTTAATCATAAGTTATTTTTTAATATTTAAGTGTCTTAATGATCCTATAATTAAATAATTAGACTCGTTTTAATTCTCTCATTGAACCGCTCGATGTGTCAAACATGCTAAATTTATGAAGTATTTAGCCTTTTAACTAAAGTTTCAAAATTTTTAATTATACTTCAAGTGCTTAATCCTTATTTAGTTGAACTCACATTGAATTATTTTCAGTATAATTGTGCTCATATAATCATGATGCTCAATTTAATCATTTAAATATAACTTTAATGAAATCCAAACTCAGCTCATCCTAAATTTGAATTTAAAAAATATATTAAAATGCAAAATTGTAATAAGAAAAATAATTGCAGGTAGTTATAAAAGAAAAAAAACTTGGCGCAAATATTAATATATTGTCCTCAAAACTTAATTCAGATACTGATACATTTCTGGCAACAATAGCCAATTCTTTGTAGCGAAATTTACTTAAATGTCACACAAATCTAATGTATTTACATATGTAGACACCTAAAATTTAATATTTATATTTATACACTTTGGTACAAATCTTTTGTCCATGAAATCCACATGCAAACCCACTCCCTCAAGCTTCCATACAATCATACTCCCCATGGAGGCATTGAAGCTGATCTACAAATCTTTCGTCCCCATCCCGAGAGCGACGGCGAAGACGGAAAGGTGAAAGACGGCTTCAGCAGCGGCACACCGGCGCCGCCATCGACGGATCCTAAGCTATGAAGGGTGGAATGATCAGTAGCTATGGGGGTTATGGTAGTGTTCCTAGCAGTGGTGGTAGCTGGCTGCAACTCGATCTGAACGTACTGGTTTTCGGCGGAATTGTCGAGCAGATGATCTTTGTCATCTTCTTCGATCGAGCAAATCGTGCATGTCTCTGTGTGTATTGTCGAGTCATCGGTGCTTGGCCGGTTTCTCCTCCTCCTCCTTGCAGCTTTGCCCCACCCATGCATGGTCTCTCTGATCCTGTGTGGTATCAGTGCAGCTTTGTAGTTTGTCCCCATCTGAAGTGCATACATATATCACAATTATACATCTTTTCATGCATAAATTTATGAGCGCAAGTATCAAACTTTGGGTTAGATATGTAAATGCATAACAATTGCATGATATGTAATATATCATTATGTTGCAATATAAGTGGCAGGGGCATATTTGCATACAAACCACCCAATTCTTATGTATCCACATAACAAAATCTAATTTCGCATTTATACCGCCCAATTCTTTCATATTACATTGAAAATACCAGCATTTTAACTTTCAAAAAGTGAAATTCAGCCTTTAATGCATAAGTAAGGTGGTATATATGCAAATACATAGGAATCGAGTGGTATGCATGCAAATCTTACTGAATGTAATTTCAGACAAGGAAATAGGTTGTTCATGAAAATCACCTGAGTGACCAAAGCATAGAGAGGCAATGTACTGTAACTACACAGAAACTGTCCAACAAACCTTCAAGCAAAAACATCTTCTTGCAGTCATAAAGAAAATGAAGGGCAAAACTTACTAAAATCACTTGGTTTTAAGTAAAATTACATACTACGCCATTCTCGTGTAATATATGTAATAGTTTAACTTTACTTTTTACATTTATATCATCCAAGTCTTTCATATCACATCAAAAGTATCGCCTTTTTGACTAAATAAACTACACCTTTTCATGCATAGGGAAAGTTGCATAGGGAAATTCATGCATAGGGAAAGTGGTATGTATGTAAAAATTAAAGTTTAGGTGTTAGAAATGTAAATACATAGGAAATGGGGGGTATAAAGGTAAATAAAATATTACAAGAGAAAAAAAAAATCAAAACATGGGTAAAATAGTAAATAAGCGCACCCTAATATGAGCCGTGCATACACCAACCAATGGTTTCTGAGGAAGCATGAATCATACCCAAACTGCCACTGTCAAAACTAAAGAATAATTAGCTTTATTTACACCAATACCAACATGATTTCTTCAGTTAAAAAAAAACAAAATTAAACCCAAATGACCAATGGTTTCTGAAAAGAGAGAAGAAATACCCAAAACCAGAAAAAGGAAGCGAGCTCAAATGCATTCTGCAACCATTAACATGAAAATTAGCCAAGAACTTCACAAATTAGCCTAAAAACTCCCATAATTTTGCTGAAATTAGATAATATACCAACCTGAAAAAGAATGAAATGAATCAGAGACAACAAAAGATCAGGTTTTTTGAACCAGAAAAGATCATCTCTAGGCTTCAATCTATAACTGCTTAAGTTTTCAGTAATCTCTACACTCTCCAGAGCCAGAGTGGCAATTACATGCTGCAACTTTGCGCCGACTAGAAGCACAAGCTGAGAAAATTAAGTAGAAAATCAGAATCTACATCCCACATACCACTCAAATCCTATGTATTTACACATCTAACACCAAAACTTCAATTTTTACATATACATGCCACCTTACTCTTGGATGAAAAAGTAACAATGATGGTATTTTTGAAGTGATATGAAAGATATTGGCGGTATTAATGTAAGAAATATAGTTTAGAAGTTAGATATGTAAATGCATAGGAATTGGGCGGCATGTATAGTTTTCTGAATAGGAAGTTCTGTTTGAGGGTTTGACACTTACAGCAATAGGTATTATAGCTATCCAAAAGTAAAGGTTAGATCCTGCAATATCACAGAACAGTGTGTTGACCTCATTTTTGTGAGGTCTTTTCTTC